AGTCCTACCTCGATTTTGCAAGCCCGGTCACTTATTGCAGCACGGTTCACAGACCTTTCCAGTCATCTCACTGCATTGAGCTGCCATCCTGAAAAGTTTCACAATCTCGCTTTTGTTGACAAATTCCTAAATGTCGTAAACAACGCTCCGACCAACAGGTATCACAAACAACAGGACCTCGGACCACAAGAGCAGGATCTTGAAGAATTGGGATACTCCGTCTGTGTTTTTCTGTTTTCGCGAATCGTCACTGCAATCGCGCCGCGGCTGCAGGGACGTGTGAAAGAGTTTGGCTCTCCAAAGTCAAAACCTTGACCTCGAACCCCTACTTGGACCCGGTCTGTTCGGCCAGCGTCCTTGCACGTCACGCTGCGAGGCAGCCATAATGTCTTCCACCGAGGGAGATGATAGCTCTCGGAGCGCGGCTTATCCATGGGTTCTGGAGCACTTGTTAACCTATCCTGGAACTTACGAGATCCCCCTACGAACAATGTACACCCTCAATGCCACCACTCAACATCAACAACAGTGTCCACCAACGCCGTCGCCCAACACGGTTCTTGGCAATGCTTTTCCTAGGAAGTCTTCCATCGCCGCCGACGAGCAACAAAACATGACCACCATGACGGCCGCTGCTCAGCTGCGTGCCAATCTCATGCAACACATCTCGCAGCTACCCTCTCAGCCAACATCCTTGCCCCCAAGCTTCATCACAAACTTTGTTCGGAGATGTTTCCCCCGCGAGCTTGATCAGGTCGACTTTCCCCAAGCTTTGACTGCCATGGATTATCTAAAGGATCTTGAAGTTCGACGTCGGCGTGAGGTGGTGGCCGCTTTGGATAAGCTAGGCATTGACCAAGATGACCTCAGTCACCGAGATAAACTGGCGCGGAAATATCCCGGCGTGCTGCGCTGGGTCTCCGAAATCGAAGAGAGGGAGCGCAAAGTGGAAGCCCTCTACACTCAGGTCTATATTGGGCTGAGAAGGTGGACCTTGATCAACGAGCTTACCTTGACGCCTTTCGACAAGGGCAATTGCCTAGCTATGCTTAATACCCTTTATCCACCCATCAACATGAATGCTGGGCATTTTGTGCAACCCACTGCCCAACTCACGCCTCAAATTCTGACCCAACAACGCAATGGGTTCTTCAAGTATATCTCTGCGGTAGAGAAGAGCGGGCCATCGGTCTTGACCAACTTGATGAATCAGGCTAAGAAAGCCGAAGACCCAAATGGCTGGGTCAGTCTGCGAGATACCCTCGACAAATATGTTCGCATGGCAAACAGCATCATCGAGGAATGCTACGACATCACCGGTCACACCCCGTCACCGACCACTTCCTCTTTCAAGCCCTTTGAACATGAGGAGGAAGGTCGCCGAAAGGTTGACTCGGCTATCTCTTTTGGCTCCGAAAACTCATCAAATCGCAACTCTGCCCAGAGCAATAAGTCGGCACAAAGCCAAAAGAGCCACACGACCAGACCTAGTACAAGCAGCAGTTTCAGCAATGCCAGTCGTAGTCCCAGCCGTCACGCCTCTCACGACAAACAACTTCCCGAAAAGCCACTTCCGCCTCCTAAAGATGACGAAATCACAGTGACACAGAAGACGTCAGGGTCAACACTGGAGCGGATAGCTCGTGAACTCCGGAAAATGAAGAGTCGGAGTAATGTCAAAGACGACTTACGTCCACGTACCCCGTCTATTTCGACAGACATGGTGGCGCCCGATAACCACGATCGACCACCAACGACACCGGGAAAAGATCGCAGCCTAAAGAACAAACTTAGCATACGGAGAATGCGATCGAATGCCACTATCTCGGAAACCACTGGTCTGCGTTCTCCTAGTCGCCACGGAGAACCTGCTATCCAGGAAGTGCCAGCGTTTGATGCAGACGAGATGAGCAAGAGCCGGCAAAGATGGGAAACTCAGCAGAAGTTGAAAGAGAAGGGCATTGATGACGGGGTGAAGGCATAATGTACAACGTTGTACCAGACAATGGTTTTGTTTTTAACGACACGGTTTTGGCATCTGAGGGGATTATGGCTTGCGGCTACTGCTACCGCACGGAGGGACTTTAAGAGCCGTCTCGGCAAATGTGTAACGATACGTGATGAAGAATTACGAGAGAAAAACTGTTATTATTGGCTTGAGAATTTGGGTTCTTGTGAGGACTGACCCGGACTAGAGATATGACGCTCTCACGAGCAAATGGATGACCTTCAGAAAGAGGTTGACCCCCAAAAGTATGGTCTTCATAAAGGCGATAGCCATAGCTTGTGCTTTGACTATTGAAGCCAGTCGATGAAATACAATTTGCTGCTTTGATCTTTGAGCCCTTGACCACTATTGAAAGGATGCGTGATTCGGGTAGAAGCACATGATGGACCGCGTATGTCAACAAGCACCTGGCGAGCTGGCAACTGGTAAAGGGATCTCTGTCCGTTGTTGCGGAGAAACGAAGTTCCGGCCATTACTGAGCACCCAAGTTCCCCGCGCCGCCATTCTTTCTCAAAGAGCATGAAGAAAACAATTCACAGCAACCACTCCGACACCGATTCAAGGCCGAAGTTTGTAACTGGGAAACCCTGTGTCGAGCTCAGTACTACCCGTTCGTTTCCACTTGCCTGTCTGTTTCACCCCCGGTGAGCTCCACGGCAGCGACAATGGCCACTGAAACCAACCCTCGAGGCATCCCTACATTTCCTTTTATGAACAACGTGACAGACTATGTCAAGTCCGTCGACGAGGTGGAGTCTACGCTGCAGAGGTTTCAAGAAATGGTTTCCAAGTATACATTCATGCAGCAAAACGTGGAGCGTCGAGCGGCTGGCTTGAAGGAGAAACTACCAGAGATGAAGAGGACGCTGGAGGTGGTCAAGTTTCTGAAGAAGAAGAGGCGGGATCTTGCCGAGAGGAAAGAGGGAGGTGAGGATGGAAGTGGAGAGAAAGATATAGAAGAGGACGATCTACTGGGGGAAAAGCCCGTGGCGGGAGATGAGATTGAAACAACGTTCAGTCTTCAAGATACCCTCTACGCCAAAGCCATCATCAAACCCGCCGAGATCAACGATGTCTACCTCTGGCTTGGGGCTAATGTCATGGTAGCCTACCCGCTCGACGAAGCAGAAGAGCTCCTGCAAGGAAAACTGGACAAAGCAAAAGAGAGTCTTGCTGCTTGCGATGAGGATCTTGAGTTCCTGAGGGTGCAAATCACGACGCTCGAGGTCGCAATCGCACGGGTGCACAATTGGGATGTGGGGGAGAAGAGGAGGCTGAGAGCTCAAGGCAAACTGCCCGCGGATGAGAGTGGGAGGGACAAGGACTGAGACCCAACAGGAATAAGTTATTCTGTTGTCGTCGTCACCTTTATCACCCCCGAACTAAAGCCCAAATCAACGGCAAACTGTTTTTTGCCAGTGAGGCCTGATCCCATCAACAGCTGTCAACTCCGGCGTCGAGTGAACAAGGTGTATGCCGCCCCTCAGCTGTGTTACTGGGCATGAATGTGCGCTCTTGGTAACACCTTTGATATGCGCTCTTCTCTAACACACGGACATCGACAACGTCCGACGATCCGAGGTCTCGGCTGGCATGGTTGAAGTCAGCACCCGACTCGTCATCTCGCTACGTGAGACTGTTATTGACAAGTTACTGGTCACCGAAAACCTGGAAAGACTGTGACCACACGGATTCTCAAAAACTGCACACCACGATTCACCTGCCTCCAAACCATCTGCAATGCTGGATGTTGATATTACCAGTCAGTCCTCCACTACCAAGAACCGCGTCTAGCCAGGGGGGAATATATGACCACTTTCGTCGATTCCTTCCTTTGTCCAATCCAAATATCCCTCCAACTCGACGAGCATGTCACCAGGACCGTTCTCTCTCCCTCCAGTCCCTTTCTCAATTTACCAGAGTCCTCACAACACGAGAACTCCTCTCATCTGGCATCAGCGTCTCAATTCACCGCACTCTGACCAAGGAGAGAAAAAAAAGGAAACACTCGAGGATCTGGCTGCTAAGGATGGTCAACGGCACCTATTGTTTTGGTTATCCCATCCTAAGGATGGGACGGGGTGGGAAATATGGCAACGAGCTATCTACATAGACGGGGAGAGTCGACGACCCACTTGTCAGTAAACACCCAATCCAAAAGTTGATTTTGCTTTACGATCAGTGCTGTTGTGCTCGTGCTCTCGTGCTCTTGCCTTCTGCATGTCAACCTTGCCTACCTGCCCGCCTGCCCGCCTGCCTGCCTGCCTCTGAGCGATATGTCCGTTCCAGTAGCTACTTTCCCGAGACCATGGATCATCGAAATCTCCAAACCTTCATTCAACACAAAGAAGAGTGAATGTTATAAACATAGCAATGGGTGTGGTGTTGCACTCAGCCTTGTTCCCGAAAGCCCGATGCTGGGCGAGGCTGAGGCTGAGGCTGAGGCTGAGAAAGCCCCTGAAGGGCTTTGGGCGGACAGACACCGAGAAGAACCACACTGTAGACTAGGCGAGCAACTGGAAACTGGTGAATGGCAACTGACGATGCATGTCTATTTGAATTCCTCCGACTCTACGAGGTAATAGTGAAAGGAAGACAAAAGAAAAACTCAAAGTAATTAGTTAGTGTTATTGACAGCAATGGGTGGCCTCTCTGCACCAGCATCGACCTGTTCGTCGATGCGTATCTTTGTCTTGGTGGTGGCAGATATTGCGATCCCAGTTGCATACTTCATTCATCACCTGCATCATTCATCTCATTCGTCTCAATGTGCTCATTCGACATCCCACGATCCTTGACATCCCCGTCGTCCCTCGGAGCTAATGATATCACCTCCACAAGTTCATGTCCAATGCAATCCAGGGAGACGCATTTATGCATTATGCTTCAGTTCTATTCATACACGTCATTAGTCGTACAAATGAGTACATCTTTCTTCTCTTTCCAACTCGCGGCATGCCTGAAGACGTCTGTGTTCTTAGCCCCCACGTTACTAGTGTTGCTTTGGAATATTGACTGCGCTCTGCTCGCCATCCGTCGCTTCTCCTTCAATGTGCTCATGCTCAGCGGATGGAGTGACAGGCTCGTCGGGCATAGATTTGACATAGTCTGGTGCTTGGAAGACCGAGTCCAAGCCTTTGCGATCGCTTCTAGCAGGTTTCAAAGTGTCTTCACCCCACCAACTCACATCCTTTCCAAATAGAGATTCGTTGGGCGAGGGTAGCGACACTGTCGATAGGTTTCGATGCTCTATATTTCCATTGGCACCACACGCTGTACGCATATGCATCGGTGAAATCGCCGGAGAGCTGAAACTTCGAGCTTTGCGAGCGACATCTGGAGTCTCATCCACCCTCGACGGACTAGGGTGATGCTGTAAGCCAACGTCTTTGCGGTGGTCGGCAGCTCTATTTGCTTTGCTGTATTCGGCTCGGCGAGGTTGGCAGCTAGCAGCTCCATTTTCAGTAAGGCTGTTGCTCCGAGACTTCCTTCGATCGTCAGCGTCGCGCAACATCTCAGCTGGTCCTTTGACAATGGCGCCCCCCACAGCAAGCATAATTGCTACGCTGAACTTGCCCCAGAGATACAATGATCGGCCCCAGCCATTTTGTGGCCCGTTCACTGGAGGGGTACGGTTGACTGCAGAGGTTGATGAAGGAGATGTTTGTGCTTGGTTTTCTGATTCCTCGATCTCGCCACCAGAGCGTGGCGGACCAGCCTCGCTTATGGATCGACAGAAGGGTTGAGTGAGAGACCGATCAGGATCCGGAAGACAGCACTGATCAGCAATACTCTCACCGTCGTACTTTGCCCAGTCCCAGTCTTCGTGATCGGTCTTTGGTCGCTGGTAGCCAATGAATAATCCAAGTACCCACCAGCTTAGTTTCCCGAACATTGCCCAGTTTGACCGCCAGGCATTTGCTATGACCCGCCGTGCCAGAGACAGTGGATCTCGTTTGAAGCCTTGAATGTACGTCGTATACCTTGATAGGGTTGCATAAACCGTTTGGATCGTCAAGGTCGCTAGAGGCTTGGAACTTATGCCACGATGCTGTAACATTTCAAGAGGAGTGCGCGTTGGGGCGGTGGCTTGTTTCTTTGGAAGAGAAGGGCACTCGTTCATCGACTTCCGGGTGTTCTGCTCGGCGATAGAGCCAGATGTGACGACTCCAAGGCGACTGGGTCGACACATCTGACCATTGCGGTATTCATGATCAATAGCGTCATCTTTCGAGTCATCTGACTCGCATATTGAGCTTGTTTTCCTCCGTTTTCGAGGATTGAGTGGCAAGTCAGGGTAACCTCTGGAGGGGGATGAATTCCCTCCGCAGGGGGTTCGATGGTCTGAAAATAAGGGACGAGGAATGTCAACGTTACCTCGCAAATGAGATGCATCTAAACTCTCCAAGTCTGACCGAGTATATCGCCGATTAAAGACTTTACTGTTTCCAGAAACATCAGGGGCGTCTTCATCTTCTCCCTCAGTCATACCAACGGTGGTGTGATGTGGATTATGCGCCACATCTCCAGGCAGAGAAGATATTGTCTTCGAAACCCAGGAGCGAATTTGTGGACTAGAACAAGGCTCCATGGTCGACTCAATCTCGCCTGCCTGCTGTGGACATTGATACTGAGCCGTGTTGCCTGAAAAGGAAAGTCCTTCGAGAGGCTCTTGGAGAACCTCCGGTTGGAAGGCTTGCTCATCACTGGCGAAAACCTCGTCCAAGCTCTGATAATCTGTTCCGAGACGATCAAGAAAATTGTCTGAACTCGGAAAGGGAGTCTCGAGGCGGTCTCCAAGAACTGCATGCGTAAATGGAGTTTCTTCAAATCGTCTTGTCTCAGAGCTAGGGAGAATGGGGAGTCCTCGAGTGGGTGACGTGACGGGTGTGGTTGAAGGAAGGTTACCACTTTCGGCCGTGAATGTTGGCAAAAGCAATGGCTTTAGCTGTGTTGATCCAGGCATGAATTTCCGAGGCCGCCTCTTTGAAGGATGTCTCAGGACTGTCTGCGACCGACTTTGCGTACGAACATGCCCACCCATCATATCAGGGCTATTTGAAGAGCTAGAGACAAGTGTTGCCCGTCCCGACTCAATGCCGTGCGCATCTTGTAGCTCGGTTTCTTCCAACACAGAGTCAATCGAGAGCCTATCATCGACAGCGTCCAAGGAGCGAGCAGTGGCGTCGAATGGACTTGCCGACAACGGCGACGACGGGGGATGCGCCGCAAAGTAGTCAGAGGCCGCGAGTGCCGGAGACGCAACAATTGACTGGGGTCGGCTCTGGAATGTCGGGAGGACTGGTGATGTGGGCAATCTTGGGATGACGAGTGACATAGGACGGCCACTTTTTCGTCTAGGAGTGGGTATGCCGCTGGAGGGTTGAGCCTTTGTCGGCGATAAGGCCAGAAGCTGGGTCAAAACCTCATTGCGTTTTGTCATATCGCGATTTGTTGTCTCCAGGCTTGACCGTTCTTCCTCCAGCTTCTCAATCTTCGCCTTTAGAACTTCCAAGGCGTTTTGGTCAGACCTCTTTTCTTCGCGATCGCATTCTAGATCGTGGATCATCGACTTCTTAAGTTCGACCTCATCTTCTAGATCCTTAATCCTGCGCTTCAATTTGAGCTCCATCTCCGTCGATCTTTCGACTGTTTCATGGAGTTCAAATTCGAAAGAAGCCCTGATGGCTTCCATCTCCTTCTTCAGACGTTCATTCTCTTCCTTCGCTTTTCGGAGCTTCTCTTTCCAGGGCATATGAGTGGTAGGTGAATACATGGCGTCTTTGACCATCTGTAACTCATTTTCGATGTGCTCTATGTATTCTTCTGAATTGAATCTCGGCTTCGTCTGAGAAGCCTTACGATGTGACCCCGAACGCACTTGGCGATAATATGGCGAATCCTTGCGAGGTGAAGACCGCTGAAGGTTTACCGAGACCTCTCTAAGGCCCATATTGACAGGGCTTTCTCGCAAAGAATCGGGGCCTGAGGGAGGGTGTAAGTCACTGTATGCGTCGTGGTAGACTGATGGTGTATTGGCTCCTGTGTCACGGATCGTAGTCTTCTCTGGGGAATCCTGGAAGATTGGTAGAGCAGCCCGTTTCTTCAAACCTCGAATCCGGCAAGTATTCGCATTCGAGATCTCGGCCAGTATGGCAGATTCCGTCGAGGCACTGCTCAACTTCTCGGCCTTGTTCAAGTCACTGCCATTCTCTTCTCGTCGATTAAACCTCGGTGATGGAAAATACGGAGAGTCGTTCTCGGATGAGCGGTTTAGGGAAGGAAATGGGACGCTGATGCCATTCACTGACAGGCTCTGTGCCGAGAACTTCGCGTGACGAGTCTGGAGCAGTCTCTGCTGTCGAGTGTGAGGTGCAGACTTGGGTGTTGTATGACTAGAAGGATACTCGTGGAAAGACGATGGTATTGACCGTGAGCGGACGTGTAGGGTGGTCACGGGTGATTGGGGGTGGGCATGGGCGTCGTCCATCGTCTCGTGGGATCAAGAATTGTGTTGTCATGGAACTATGACGCTGGCCGGAGAATTCGCAAGCCCCAAAATACTCACCATTGGTGATCGACCCGGCCAGAAGTGCTAGTAAGAGGGTTTGGAGGGGGAGGGGGGCAAGGGATTCGACAGGATTGAAATTAACCAACATTCCAGACCTCGCGCCGCGAGGACTGATGCAATACGGGGCTCTTTGAGAGCAAAGGAATGCAAGAAGTGAAGATCTGCTTGGATAAAGGAGAGGCTGGTGAAGATGCTCAAGCCTGAAAAAAGGACGATTGAATTGTGAAAGGAAGAGAACATGCCACGCAGGCGCAACCTGAGCCAGCGAGCGGGTTGACACGGAAGAAGGAGGAACAGCCCTCGTGGTCCGCGAGAAATTAATTGCTCTGACAAAAAAGGTGAGTGTTTACATTGTACTCATTTCGGAGGATCGCTGCGCTGGGCTGCTAGATGGAGCCGTGGGCCGAGTAAGCGTTGAGATGCTGCTAATTAGGCACCCAGATAGGTAGGAACTGCGGTCCACGGGCAGCAATCCAAGGGTCGTCATAGGCAGAGGCGCCCCCGCTTCAGCCCGCTAGAGGACTTCGCTAGGACGGGAAAACTTACCCAGAACACTCCCGGAAGCCTACTAGAACATTTAGCACGTTGGCGGTTGCTGGTGCCGAGGTACTCATCTGCAGGTACATGTTGTCACGCAATGGTGCACACGCTATCACGTGATATTTAAACTAGACCCGTTCTGATTCTTGGCATATTAACTTCCCCATCCTCAACTCGCAACATCCCTCGTACTGTCTAACAATAATACATGTCTCTTACCCTACAGAATAGGGCTCTGCCACATCGCCAAGGCTGAGATCGCTACCTCAGTGACTAGCTACGTCGTCTCAAGTTGTATGCCCATCGGAATCATATTGATCACATTGACAATGCTCCACTTGTCGGTCCTCGTTCCTCTTGCCTTTGTCTATAATAGCGCCCATTCACTTGAGGCCATCCTATTGTTGTCCTTTTTTGTCCTTCACAAACCCGCTAGCCCTAGGAATAGATCTATCGTTGCTATTCATATTCTATTCACAACGGGGGACAAAGACAACCTCGTAATAGGACTTGGTCTGAATGACCTTGTTTCAAAGGTAGGTGGGCGGCGCCTTAAAGAGAGAGCTGTAATGATGTTGCCCTGTGGTTCCATGTTTCCATTGACTCGATTTACTACTGTCTACTTCATTCACTCTGTGCGTGAGAACCCATTGAATATCCTCTGCCCAACCTGATACGTGAAACGCTCTCCCCCCATAGTTCAACATGTGCAAGATCATTAGGTACCGCTACACCAAGTGCTGGAGACCCGCAGACGCGGGTGAAGACTACGACGAGCACGATCCGAAAAACCTCTGTGATGGCGGCGTCGACAGCCAAAAAATACCCTGCTTCACCGATGTCTGCGACCAGCACGAAGATGGCATTCCGAGATACCAATACGTGTTTGGTGGATTTCTCAATGAACCGCCAAAATGCAACCCGACCGTGGAAATCTGTTATATACCGACTCACTGTGCCTTGCATCGTCAGCAAATGGTTTGTGCTGGTATTCCCGTACCAGTCGACGCAAACATCCATACTGAACCCGAAGCACCATTGCCAGACTTTACGTGGCATATCCCCCGAGTGCCATTAAGGGATCCTGGCTTCCGCATGGTGGACTGGAATCCAGAACCACGGAGGGTGCCTCTGGACCAACCTCCTGTCAGCCCCAAGACACAGGCCACATTCAATCCTGAGCAAGGCGGCGTCATCAATGCAATGTATGATCCTGAACACTGGGTTTCGGCCGATGACCGCCCTATAGATTTACTAGAGAATCATTACGCCGATCCGGACGTCAACGACTTTCCGGCCTTTCCTAGAATCAAGGGGCCGGCTATGCCACCGCCAGGACCACCCTCTACGCAAGACATGCAGACTCCAGTTCCTCAATCAGTCCAAGCGGAGCCACAACCTGCCAACTCCCAGCTGCCATCCCAGTGCAATGGCTCACAAGGCCAGCCACAACATAGCAACCCTCAGAATGAGCAGCAAACCCTTAGTGCAGTTACAGGGGATATACCACTGCCGGCTCTATTGTCAGGAAACATGTTCGGAAACTGGCGAGAGGTGTCGAAAGCCGGGCGGTCAAGCACGGGTTTGTCGTCATCAGAGAGCTCATCATCTTCACCTCAGGTTCCGGCTGTTGGCTGGCCCAATCGAGATTTGTCCTCCACCCCAGATCCAGAATCAACTGGCAAATCACCGATCTGGGAACAGGATTTGCTGGCACAGCTCCAATCCTTCTCTGGAGGAGACAAGAGCCGAGCTCCGCAGCCGGTCAGTCGGCTACAGTCACCGGGCCAAAATGCTAACCCGCAAGGACAAAAAAGAAGTGACGACGACGGCGAGGGAGAGCAAATACCCCTCAAAAGACGCAAGCTCAATTCCGGAACACCAGCCACGTCTATTGCAAAGCGACATGACATGACCCTACGCAGTAGCGGCGCGGGCGCTTCGACTGCTAGGGGAACTAGCACCACTGGTCCGACGAGCACGCACCGCATGAAACTTCGGCCTTGGACACCCAGGATTGCCCCAGCACCTACCCCTGTACGGCCAAATACTCCAGCGGCCGGGACAGTGACAAAGAGGAAAACCAGGACTGTCGCTAGAGCAGGAACTCGCGGCAGTGGCATCTCCAACCCACCCGGCAAGGCAAAGTCTACCAGCAAACCGAAGCTGCCTCCTCAGAGAGCGAACAAAGTGCAAAAGGAACAGAAGAAGCAGAAGAAGCAGGAAACTAAGAAGACGACGACACAAACCCAAAGACCAGCTCGGAAGCAAGTTCGAGGACGAGGGACTGCACCGCAACAAGCAGCTACGTCCACAACCCCGTTGTCGACTTCCACAACGGGGCCCATGACCCGGTCAAGGCGCGCCGCACAGGGAGCCCAGCTCAACCCCGGAATGGATTGAGCGAGCACAACGTCCACGGTACTTTATATTACCACCCAAACTAACTCGAGTTTTTTTTTTTTTTTTTATGTTTTCTTGCCCGAGTCTTCCTGATCGGGTTCAATACCGGGTACTGGGTGGGTGAGTACGTATCAATATTCCCTCGTCGGCAGGGATGATCGACTTTGAGATGGAGGCAAGGCGGAGGCGAAAGCGAAGGTGAAGGATATTCCACCCACGGAAAAAATGTACAACAAAGAATAATGACAGAGCTCTTTCCAAATTGCCATGTGCTGAACCATGTCTGGATCCGGGTTGGATATCAAATGGTGCTGTTGTGCTGTTGGACCCAATTCCCTGCACATGATCCATGTTGATCCATGCCCTCTACATGTGAGGAGAGAAGGGAGGCGAGTGGGTGCGACCGGATCACAGATGGATGGAAAAAGCACACAGAGAGCCTTGCAAGCAAGTGGAGAAACATCTAGGCAGAGGCAATATCAAGCAGCGTTAAAATAGTTCTGCAGGGTTGAGCGACTGTGACCACGGCCTCGAGTGGACGAGAGACCGATGCATTCCCTCTTGATCAATTGAGAAACCAGAAGCAACAAATTTGCTCTTCTGGAATGGGTCTGCTTTACCCAGTCAAACGCGCAAGCGCTAATTTCAAGACGACCCCCTTGACTTGCCGGAGATCCCAAATCGACCGTGACAGCTCTTGCTAGATCTCATTGTCCCCCCGTGATACCAAGTCCCAAACTCCAAGCCTGTCTCAAATACAGCGGACAGGGTGCTGTGCTGAGCTTGGTCTGTTTCCCCAGTCCCCTTTTCCTGTACCTCATGAGAAAACCAAAACTAAACTGCATGCACAAAGGACGGCAAAAACCTGTCACGCGGTGGGTATAGGCGAAGAAGCGAAAAAAAACCTCCCAGATGTCACTCGCCCTTGAGTAGACGTCCACGCAGGCGAGAACCACTGGCGAAAATATGTATGTCATAAACTTTTAATATCTTGACATCTTAACATCGTGATAAACATTGGCGAGCCATTCCTGACACGATTTGTGTGCTCAGCCAAGGATGGAGAGAGTGGACCGCGTCGATTGACCAAAGAAACAATGCGCGACCAGACTGTTGATGCACGAGGAACGAAGGAGTCGACTTTCCTGTAGCTGTCATAACTCAAGGCTGATCTTTGGAGGCAGAGGACCCAAATGTGGGCACCCAAGTGCCGTCGTTGCTGACAAGAATTCCCCGCGCATGCAATTGGTTGTTCCTTTCCAAAGTGTCGCGTACATCTAGTAGAAAGTCATCGATTAGCAGCGACTTTGGGTGCGCATCCTTTGAACATATGGGACATTTCCAGCAATGATTTTCCGTCAGGCCCCCTTTGTCGACGCCCGTTGCATGAGAGGAGAGAAACGCTTCCAGATCGAAACATTCCCGGTGTCGACACTCCCGGCTTCGAGCCGGTGTTCGCCAAACAGAATACGTGAGTGGATCTATCAGGTCAATGTAGATGCCGGAGGCCTTGACAACCAGATCGTGGTCTTGAGACCCACCCTGGTTGGTCTCGAAGGAATTCAAAATCTCTTTTCGAATACATGCCGCGGGGAGTCCGGTGGACATGGCTTTAATCTCGTCGTAAGTTGCCACGCAGATGAGTTCGATTGCCATCAGATACATGCAATGCGAATCTCTTTCTGTCGGATGGAAGTATGCCACAACTTCGATCTCGTTATCGCCTTCGATCAAGAGATCCGTCACATCTAACGCCAGACCGACACCGCGTTGATGGTTGCTCAAGTCAACATCGATATCTCCGTTGATTACCACGGATGCGAGCATCGGCCACTTCGAAGTCCGCTTGTGGAAATCCGCCTGGGTGGGTGTGAAAGGCGGTGTCCCTCGGCCGTCGATAGCAACTGACCTTAATCTGAAATGTAACTTGCCATCTGCAGCCTCCCGTTCTCTAGGGTTGGTCTGTCCTTCGGGTAGAGTGGTTGCTCTTCGCGCCCAAACGTTGTGTGGAATGTGGACATGCCACTGAATGATAGGTGAATGTGCGTGAATACATTGTTGAAGCACTATCGCGTCCTCGACAAAGGGGTAGAGGGTGGTCGTAGACACATTGCTACTGGAATCAGTCAGGCCTTCATGTTCCTGATCGAGAGTGCGTGCTTGATGTAACGGAGCCCTTCTAGATGCTGCAGCAGTGATGTGCGATGGAGCAGATCGAGCGTCAACCGGAATCCGGCGTCGAGCCTGTGAGGCTTGATTCGGCAAAATAGCCGTGGACGATGGTGTCGCCCGCCTGTCAACGCTCGGCGATGATCTCGGTGATGGGACTACATGCTGTGAGTCGGCTGTAGGTGGTCTCACTCTTGATGACTGCGCGGAGGACATCGAGCGCTGCTCTCCCTCTGGTGTCGTGGAAGGTATACTTGTGTTCCTTTCACTGTATTGCGGCACCTGAGTGGGGGCTGTCAATCCGACTTCACCGGAAGAGACTTGGTTTGGCTCCAAATGTCTTTCAAGAGATCGGCTCGAAGATGGGGATGAAAAACAGGGAGTAGTCGTGTGGTTAGCCGGAGTGGTGGAAAACCGGCTTGCTGTATGGGGTCCGGCAGGATGTAGAGATTGCGCTCTGAGCTGTAGGTATCCTTCCCTCCATGCATCCACCAAGTCTCGGAAATCGGATTCAGATACGTTCAGTTGAGCTGGGTGGCGGGTGTATATACCCACCAGCTTTGTCGTTTCTTCACTGAAGAGGTTGAAAACCTTCTTAAACATGCTCGAGCTATCAGCGTAGTTGGAATAAAGGTGGTAGAAGAGAGCCTTCTGTAAGATAGGAGAAGGTAACCTCAACTCAGTCATCAGCTGAACTGGCGCAGGTGGAACGCTTTCTCGACTCGCGCTAGCCTTTAATGTGCTGAATGCAGTATGAAATATTTCGAGGCATGAGCGAACGTCAGCCAGAACAGGACGAAGTGGCGAGTCTGTATCTTTTACTATTTCTTCTCTGGGATAGGGGAACGTCCTTAATAGCGCGGATAAGTCTGGGTTGGACGCGGTATCTCCACACAAAATCGAACACAGAGATCCGAGGCCATCAAAGTGCTCCTTCTTCAGATTTAGCGGCCCAATGAACTCCCAAGTTGTCGGCAAATAATTACTGCAAAGTAGATGTGCGAGGAGGAAAAACTGGTCGTTGAGTTGGCAGGCTTCTCGCAACATATCGATTCTCCCATAGCTAAAATCCGCCGACTGATCTGACTCGGGTGTGGCGATGGCAGCTAGTGAAGATTCTAGCTGTTGGCTAAGGGGGGTAACGTGTGGCCTTGCCGGGGACTCCTGAGGGGTGGGCAGCTGCTGCCCTGAAGGCTCCAACCTCTCGGAAACAGGGCTTGGACGAATCACCCGCGCCTCGTCCCCGTTCGCGTCCATTTTCCGCTTAGTGGTGCGACCTGTAAATGTCGGCTGCTTTTGAGAGAGAATTTTCGAGGGACTGTTTAGCAGGGACATGATGGACACATGCCGTGTTGGCGGCGGTGAATGCAGAGAATGGGAACTGGAAGAGACACCGTGTGCCTCGCTAAGTGTAGGCATTCCTATTCGAGCCCGGTCTCCTTCGCGAGTATTTGGCTTCATGAATCCTATCGTTGGCCTTGATTCCTCAGCACTCGAATTATCAGGAGCATGATCTGGTAGCAATGCTGAAGGCTTTCGGTTGATGTCGACCGGGCTCCCTGGAACGATTGTGCGTGAGTCATTGTCGCATGGTATTATATCCGAGACCGGAGTACATGAGTCCTGTGGTGGTGCATTTCGGGATTGATCATCTGGGGTGCATGTGGACCTCGTTCCGGTTCTGGTATCCAAGATAGTCGACGAGGTGGTCGATGGAGCGGATGAGGCGGTTGTGGCGGGTGGAATATTTCGTCCAAGTTTGATCGTAACGGGCCCAGCCTCGCAGGGACCTTTTGCAGGAATCGGCGAACATCGTTGGGAGGCCCGTGGAGTGGGCTTCTTCGGTTGACGAGTCGACCGATTAGGAGTGCGGGCAGAACTGGCATGAGATGCTCTGTCCGCCATCCACAGCAATGGCCAGAGCCAGGAAGGCTATTATTGGGATAAGAAGATGTTGATAGCCATTCAGGCTTGTGAGCGATCAAGAGCAAAGGCTGAAGTTGGTGTCCACGTTTGACTCAAGCAGACTTGAATGATACCCAACGACAAGCTAAGTTTCCATTGAGAAGACAACGCAGGTGGAGAGATGATGGTTGGTTATCTATGAACAAAGGTTGGAATCAGACCACAAATTCGAGGGCGGGAGGACTGCATTGAGTTTGGAAGGAAACGGAGAAGAAAGCGGCGGAGCAGCTGTTGCTGTCAGCTCTCGCAGGGGCTGGACTGACGGCGCGTAAAACGAGGCTGTAAGGACAAGCGGGTGGAAATAAAAGACAGGCGTGCGATCTCGCCAGCACAGGAGGACAACCGATTGCAGTCAGCAGCAAGAGATGGAGGAGGAGGAGGAAGAGGAAGATGAGGAGGCAGAAGAAGCAGAGGGAGAATGGCTCATGGGCGAAAGCCAACTCAGCGCATGTAGACGGTGGTGGTGAGAGGTGGTGATGGATGAACAAACGTCAGATGCGGGAAAAAGTCAGGACAGACAGCAGCTTAGTGGGCGAAGTGGGAACATCCCATGTTCGATTGTTCGATTGTTCAATTGTTTGTGGTGTGGACTGCGGAGTGATCAGCTCTCGTCGTAGACGGATCACGGGTTGCCAGGCTAGCAGCTAGTTAAGCCAATTGAATGCCTCACTCTGGACTGCGCTGCGCCAGATGAAGGGAGGGGTCACTAGGCATCGAGGGCGGCGAATCATGGGCACGCCACCGCCGGTTGGGGGAGATTCCCCTGCAGGCTATCCTGGCAAGCCTGGCTTCCACAGGCTGGCTGGCTCGTTGCGCGTGTGGCCTCATTTGACCATTGTAACATTATTGAGGAGTGAAGAGAGACAATACACAGGGTGCGGTGCGGTGCGGTCAAGGGCATGCCGCAGACACTTTTGTTGTCGTCTACCCATACACCTTGCCAAAGGACGTCCAAAGACACTGAGATCCACTAAATGACAGTGTAGCCGACAAGGTGAATTGTCACATTGGTCAAACAACTCGTCGTCGGACGGCGGCATCACCCTCAGATCAGCCTGCGCAATATCAATTACTCCTACTTTTCCGTTCCACCAACCTCGTGCGACTCTCCTGACCGATCTCTTTTCACCATCTCAACCTTTCCTCACGTCCTTCAACCTGCCAGGGCACTGGAAAGCGCAATTCCTATCATGCAGCCACTTGTCACTGCGCGTCTGGTCGATCTCCCGACAACTCCACAACAACTTTTCATCGACCGTTTATTTGGGTAGCCAGGTCATTGCTGCGCTCGCATGCCTGCGTCTTGACGCCTGGTCTTCACATCATGTCCGCCTCTCTTCAACAGCGCCCGCGGGCCAACCTACAGCCCGGGGACATCCTTGTGGCCATCCGTGCGTTACATCTGCCGCTCACTTCCATGTGCAAAGACGCCTCGCTGACGGTCTCGATCTAGATGATTTCGACGCCAGAAGTGCCGATGAGTTGACGCTCCGAAAAACCGACCAGATCGAGTTGGTTGAGTTGGATGACGGCTTTGGTGATGGCTGGTACCTAGGCAAGCATCTTGGTACAAGGACGACAGGCCTATTTCCTGGTGGTATGTCGTTTTCCCACACTGGACTCTTAGTTCATTCTTCTTAAGTGATTGACATGTGCTCAGTCTATACCGCTAAGCTTCCCCCCAACTTCGCGCCTGTGGGTGCTCCAGCCGTCAAAGGCCCTCAAATCCTTGCGAAACCATCAATCGAGTCCACGAGCGAGCCACTCAAACAAGCAAACTCAACCACCGACACCTCCAGTCACCGTAGCCTCTCCTCGTCCCCAACGCCACAGTCTACTCTACCGCTACGAAGCTCTATACCCGCTTCTCCCACCCAATATATTCATCGGAGCATCAGTCAGGCACTATCAGGCAGAGCAAGTGGAGAGGATAGTCCAGTTATGAATGAAACATTAAGCGTTATAAATGAACACATTACGGACCTGAGCACGCCGCGTCAGAGTCTGTCGCCGCCACTGGCTGTGATGGAGGATTCGGAGAGCGAATACAGCAGTCACCTCGACCGAGCCTCCTATATCGCCGGCCCTGAAACCGATAGTGAGGACAATGCGCGCCCAACGGAAACTGACGTCAAGCAATGGGATGCGAAAGAGACGGCTGAGTACCTGAGAAGCCTTGGTGTTGACCCAAAGCACTGTGATATATTCGAAGAGCAGGAGATAACTGGCGATGTCTTGCTGGAGATGGACCAGTCCTTTATTCATATGAAGGAATTCGACTTTGGCCTGATGGGCCGGCGTTTGAAGACCTGGCACAAGATCAGAGACTTTCAGAATCAGGTCCGCAATGGCACAGCGTCGCGAAAAAGCAGCCTAAAGCCGAATGGGTCCAACGAGGATGTCACACGAATTCAAGCACGAGGCACCACCATATTACCACGAATACCAAGTCTGCTGGAAGAACCGGGACTATCTATCCGCCAGTCACAGCACAATCACTCGTATGCCATACCTAACTCACCGCCGTCTTCCGAACAACCCATGTCTCCGTCTTCTTTTACCCGGTCCCAGCTTGGACGGAGCACACCCCCGTCTCCTTGGAGAGCTTCGATGGCTACTGACTCTCCATCACGGCGGTCGGCCTCTTCAATACGAGAACTGAATCAGTCTCGTCGCCATTCCTCGATAGATTTCGCCAAAGCCGGAGTTCCGGAGACTGCCACGCAAGCTGCTGCCAGTCTATCCCCTCCACACAAGAAGAATGCATCTTTCGATAAAGATTGGTCCATGAGCAACGCAACCACTGCCAACACCGACGGTAGTACTCCTTCGCTCAGGCTTCATATCGGCAATCCACCGATAAGCGTTGATTTGGACGCAGATGTTGGGTTCAGCAGCGAGCTTTCTACCATCGATCTCGACCGGGGCTACTTCAGTGGGAATGAGGTCGACAACAGGAAAGCGAAGAACCTCCTCAAGAAGCGAGGAGGTATGGAAAGCGTAGGCCATTCCCGCCAATCGAGCGTACTTGATGACTCGTCCAAGGATGGTCTCGGCGTAAAACGACATTCGCGACTCAGCAGCCTTGATTCCTTCAGGGCCACCTCCTCGCTCTCCTCGGCCGCAAAAGCATATCACAGCAGATCATATAAAGGTCGGTTCCGTTCTGCGAGTGCGAGGAATCCGTCCACGCAGCGCTCTCCAATCGCACAGTCACCCACGGTGACAAATTTGGAGGATGGTGGTCTCTCGGCTCTATCGTCCCCCAAGCCTGTGAGTGGGTCGGCATCTCCTGCTACTGGAACAGCGGCAGCTCCCTGGGCATCATCAACAAAGGCGCGAAGACTGTTGGGTATCCGAGCAGCATCCGAGGCTGTTACTGGAAATGAAAAGGAAGCCGCCAGTTCTTCAAACATTACGTCCGAGGCATTGAGAGAGAGTCCTACCGCGTCACCTTCTGGCTCACAAACTCCATCCGCGACATCACGTAGCTTCGACATGGACAACACAGACACTTCTTCAAAAGGCACAGCTGAACAACTGGGCCCCTTATTGCATACGAAGACCCCCCTGCGTACCAATCCAAAGACCAAGCGACAAACGAGCGCCTACACGAGAGGTCTGCTACAAATATCCCCTGCGGAAGCACGGAAGCATTGTGATCATTACGGTTGGATGAAGAAAAGATCCAGCGGCATTGTATCCCAGTGGAAACCCAGACTGTTCATCCTACGAGGCCGGCGGCTGTCGTATTACTACTCAGAGAATGATACAGAGGAAAAAGGGATCATCGATATTTCGGGACACAAGGTCCTTGTGACTACTGCTGATCCCATTACCTCACTTCAAGTTACCATAACGGGAACAAAGCCCACACCTTCCATCAGTGCCCCCGGGTCATCGACAGAGACCTCGCCGAATGTGACGAGAAACTCGAGCGGAAGCTCCCCCTTCTATTTCAAGCTTGTCCCTCCCAAGGCGGGAGCTTCAAGAGCGGTACAATTCACAAAGCCTACTATTCATGTTTTCCAGGTTGACAACATTACTGCGGGACGGAAATGGATGGCTGAAATTCTGAAGGCCACCATCGAACATGACTTAGCAAACTTTGAGACTACAAATCGGCAAAAGACCATCAGCTTGGCGAAAGCCCGGGCAAGAAAGGAACGGCCCCCAGCGCTGAAAGGCACAGAAGACATAGTCGAGTTGGCGGAGAGACCGCCCCCGCAGGAAGAGAAGGATGAGCAAGAAAGTGGCTTGAATATCCAAGGACTGGATTTCAACGCGTCGGACATGAATCTCCAGATAGGCACAGGCCTCACGAGTGGGACAACAGCACGTCCCGAGGATGATGCGGAACGGGAAATAAAGACATGATGACAACACGAGAAGGATTTATTTATCTTACCCTGCATATAATATATTTCTCCTGGAATATGTAATGTCTGTTTGTCTGCACTCTAGGCTGTGAATGAAGCAATCGTATTACCTTGGTAGCTCTTATACAAAATAAAGAGCAGTCAGTGGTCAGCCTGATATGTGCAAGGCTGACCAACCAGGTGTCGTACATTGCGGGAGCCGCGTTGCGTTGCGCTGCGCTGCGCTTTACAACCGCGTTTCCAACTCCTCAAGTCGCGCTTGAGGGGAGAGAGACTCTCTTTCTCTCTTTGTTTCACGCGCGACTACGAACTCAAGCTTCTTAGGATTGCTCTGTTCTGTATTTTTGTTTTGGTTCTGCTCTTCAGGTCTTGTTTCCATTTGGCTTCGATGTACATATATGGACTTGCAGACAAGTTGCTGCGCCTTCTGACCCCAATTGCCATCTGCTTGACCACCTATCTCTACCTCTATCCGATTTTCCATGGTTGTGCTTTTCCGTCGAGAGATCTCTCCTCTGTCACCGCGCTCACTGAGACCCTCAACCAACATTGGTCACCTTGGCCCGACCTCGACGCGCACTCCGACCATCCACATATCCCCTTCCGACTGTTGGCTCTCGCTGATCCGCAGCTTGAAGGGGACAGCTCCCTTCCCAGGCCCGAGGATGGGTTGTTAGCTAGGCTAAGGCAGCATTGGGCGCAACTATCAACTGAAGAACCACAATATTGGCCGTCCTCTGCGTATGAGATTGTGCAGGAAGTCGTTTTCAAGAACCTGCCTGAAGCACTGCAAACCCTCCGAAAACGACTTGATCTCTTTGGAAACGACTACTATTTGGGGCACATATATAGAACACTTCATTGGTGGACAAAGCCTACCCACGTTGCCGTGCTTGGAGACCTCATCGGTAGCCAATGGGTCACGGAGGAAGAATTCGCGTGGAGAGGGTGGAGGTTCTGGAATAGAGTCTTTGCTGGTGGTCGTAAGGTGGAAGAAGACGTCACGAGCCTGTACAACCAAGAGCAAGGAGCCATTTTCGAGATGGATGATGCCAATTGGAAGTACCGAATCATCAATATCGCTGGCAATCACGACATTGGATATGCCGGGGATATTTCTCGACAGAGGATGGATCGGTTTGAAAAGGTCTTTGGGAGGGCCAATTGGGACGTCAGGTTCCGATATCCCCATCAAAGCAGCCCGAATACTTCGATCGAGACCGAGACCCGGCCATCGTTGCACCTGATTGTCTTGAACAGCCTCGTGCTAGACTCCCCTGCGCTATCAGAGGAAGTTCAGGCCGAAACTTTTGGGTATCTGAACGACCTGATCTCTCATCGTCTGCGCCCTGTTGAAGATAGCTCGTCTTTCACACTTCTGCTCACACACCTACCACTTCACAAGAAAGAAGGAGTCTGCGTCGATCCCCCCTTTTTTGACTATTGGGGTGATGACGATGGCGGCGGAGTCTATAAACCCCATGGAGTGAGAGAACAGAATCACTTGAGCGAACAGACGAGTCACAGAGGTACTTTGCAGGCGTTGTTCGGCATGAGCGGCGATATCGGAGTGCCAGCTCAAGGCAAAGGTCGCAAGGGTCTCATTCTGACTGGCCACGACCACGAGGGCTGTGATGTCTGGCATTTCATCCCCTCTGGATCGACCATGACCACATCAGCAGATGGCACTGGAGAAAATCAGCAAACCTCGTGGGACAGCTGCAAATGGCGGGACGCAAATCACCGCAATGCACATACAGGAATTCGAGAAATCACCCTCCGCAGCATGATGGGGGATTACGGGGGCAATGCAGGACTTCTCAGTGCTTGGTTCGAAGACGATGTAGGTGAATGGAGGTACCACATTCAAACGTGCGGTCTGAACATCAAGCTCTGGTGGGCCGTCCATGTTGTTGACTTGGTGGTTTTGTGCCTTTTTGGTGTTGGCCTTTGCCATCGTTTACAACATATTGTCAGGACACCTTCAGCAGAAAGACCAGTTGTCTCGGAATCAAAGTCTGAAAATCCATTCCGATGAACGACATTGCGCTGCTTTGTACTCGGCAACCTCTCTGTTCCCGGAGTCACAGAGAACGAGTGATCTCTTTGGCAAGTCTGTATGCTTCAACCACAAGAGCTAGTGCCATATAGCAGGATCGCTGGCCGAAGAGAACCAAAGTTTTTTCATCAAATTGGAAGAGGCATATCGAATATAACCTCCTCTTCCCGGTTCTACACGACTTGGTCGTCCACAATGACAATTCGTCGAGGAATATTCAAGTGGACAATTCCCTACTATGGATGGACACGTAGATGGCGTGGACGTGAATACCTCCCGGCATCGTCAATTCTGGTATTCGGCGGAGATTCTCATGCACAGACAGACTAGTCGCACTCAGCGCACGAACTCATCTGAACTTCCTGAGGCACGTGTATATACATCACGTCGGAATATATTCGCTGTCAACAGAGCCGACTGTTTTCATGTCTGAAGCCTGGTGGAACTCGATTTCCTGCAATGGCTATCAATAAAGCGATCACTTCCAATTGTCTTAAGGAGGCCAAATCGGCCACAGTCCCTCGGTGGTGTGGGAAACAATATGAATAGGATCATTTGGAAGTGCCATATCACCAAGAGCCACAGATGGACAGGACGATTGGGGGAGCACGAATTGAGTTCAGGACAACAAGAGTTTTACAAGAATGAACGAAGCATTTGGTCTCGTCCACACTTTGTCAACACCCTCAAGGTCGTCGACGGGCTCAATGATCGTGTCCATCAACCTATCGAACAGCAAGCGCAGTGATACAGAGATACTTCAGTGAGAAATGTTTGAGGTATAAATTCACACCACTTGTCAGCATGGTGACACCCTGTTGAATCTACATTGATGGTCTGTGAATAGACCTGATCGAATCATGTCCTTCTAGATACCTCGTCCACACATACTTCTTCCCTTCCCTTCCTTGTATATCCTTCACCACTGAAATTGAGCTGAGACTGAGCAAGATGGTGTTCTTGATTGTTTTCGAAACTGCACTTCCTCGCCCACTCTCCTTCCAATGGGGTCATGATATCTATGAGGCCTGTCCAGCTTGTGTCCGTGCTCACGAGCTCAGAACCTGCGATGGCGAGACCAAAGTCACCTTTGAGATTTGTCAGAAGCACAAAGACATGTAAGTTCAAAGTGTCTTCGGAGTGGAGGTGCGTGATGGCGGAGATTCCCCCTCGTCCACGCGCTTATCATTCTGTCTTTGTGCTTGTTTATCGGCAATGTTTGAGTTGGTCACTTATGACGGGGAGACTGACACCAGGATCGTCTTGACGGGACTCAGAGTGTGGCATTTACGTACTCAATCCTGCTACTGATGAGCCTGTGGCCGTCATCCCATGGTGAACGTGGGTTATGGTGAAGATCGGCATGAATCTCTGTGAAGCCCATTGAGACGCCTTGCAAAATCGACTGTTCAAACCCTTGGCTTTGAAGCCATAGACACCACTTCTAGCTGACGTCTCGCACTCTTGTGAAACTTGATACCCATGCTCTGTCCCTCCCTGTCCTTGCAATGCATACAAGAGTCAAGTAAGAGTCAGAGAGAGGAGCTAATCTTTGTGGTTGCGAGTCCAGAACCGAATCCACCGCATTAGATGAAGCCATTCTGAAAGAGCTCCGTACACTGGTCCACCCGTTGTACTCGCCTGTGCCGACGTTCCCCACAGTCACGAGCACAATCACAGTCAAGTCAAGAGAAGACCTGCGCAAGGAGGTCAAGGTAACCACGGTGACCGAGAACACTACAGTCACCCGAACTCCCACAAAGAAAGGGCATACCACAGAGGCTGGCAGGAAGCATCACATTCCGGGCGAAAGTGCTTCGAGCAGGGTACGTGAGTTGGGTCTGCCGCAGCCCAAAATCACATATGCCCACGGCGGCGGGTGTATCTACTCGGACGAACCGGACCTGGTGTTCAAGCCGAGGACGGCGGTGGTCGAGACGGACCAGCACGCGCGAGAGAGGCTGAGAAACATCGCCGCTCTGCTGGACAGCGGCATCGGTCGCAACCTAGGGCCCGAGCTCGACACCGACCCGGACGCGGACATGCATGCTCTGTTGGGCGAGGATACTGTTCTAGATCTGGGCAGGTACCAATCTACTTCCAGTTTGCCGCCCAGCGACTTCACCGACGGCCAGTCTACTACTCCGGCGGCTCTTGTGCGACGCATGATCAATGCCGCTGCTTACGATGAGGCCCGCGCCATCCTCTCCGCCGAGAAGGAGCGCTTGGAGGAATGTCTCGCCACCAGCTCCTTAGCCAAGGCGCTGTACTTCAAGCGATGCAATGGGCAGTGGGTCAATGCCGTGGGCGATGTGCTTGTGGTCGATGGTAGTGACAAGGGCAACGGTCATAACCACAGCTCAGGAGGTGAGGAGCCTGGAAACAGCAGAGGACAAGACCTCGCGGGCGACGAGGCTGGGGGTTGTAGCAAGGTGAAGGGGAAGAAAGAAAAGAAGAAAGAGGGCGCAGCAGTATCCAAGGATGGCCAGCTCCGAGGTACTCATGATACTCGCCCTGTCTTACCTGTCCTGCCCCAGGGTCCCCTCGCCGAGGAAGTCCTCGAGACAACCTCATCGCCGCTAGCCAGGACTTTTACGCCGAGCATGACACCCGGCAGCAGCACAGGAACCGCAAGCGTTTCCTGCCGATCCCACGGGAGTCCTGGTTCATCCTCACGCAGCAGCGGTGGCAGCGACAGCGACACCGGTGACGACGGCGACATCGGTCCGTTGAAAGCCACGGCCTGTGCCACGACCACGACCGAAAGGGTCGAAGAACCCAGGACTACCGACCCAGCCACGTCGTCTGGATATGGCTATGGCTATGGCTATGGCGTCCCCTCCAGCCGCCAGCGCGATGATACCACCACGCCGAATCCTATTCTCCCAGGCGCTCGCGCCTTGCTTTCGTCTTGTTCGTCGCCTCGTATACACTCATCCTCATCCTCCGCTTTCGCTGGGATTCAGACCTATTTGCCCCATCCTTACGACACCCCGTCCACCCCATCGTTCGGATACAACATGCTCCAGAGTCGCGAACAGCTCGTCCGCGCCGGCCAATGCACCGACGAGGACCTCTGCATGACCTGCTGGGGGTATAACCGCTTATTCAAGGGCGAGCACACAGCCTGAGGCGGGAATACATAAGGAAGTAGCTCGCATAGGTTGCATAGGTTGCAGGGCGCAAGCACAAAGTCGCCGAAAAGGCGATGTACGTCGCGGGACTGAGTGCAGCTGAGGAAGGAAGACCTTGGGGGTTGAGTGATGATGGTGGTGGTGGTGGTGATGGTGATGCTTCCGAGACGAAGACGGAGTGGACACGTGGAAGAGTAAAAAGAAAAGGGGAAAACAGCACGAGTCACAAGTCACAAACACCGTGAACCATCGATTCAATGCAAGTTGCTGCAGAGAGCGTATTTCTCAGTTGGGGGGTTCTGGATTTCCATAGTTTTTTTGGGCTGCATTCACTTTCGAAGGCTCTGGCTCGACACTTTGTCACTATCTATATCAGCCGATCTAATATCATCGATCGCACAGAATTTTGCTCAGCTACGGATTCTTTTACAGTTAATCGGCGTGAACCGCGACAATGCCAGTGACGATCCTGCCCAAGACCATCGCCTCGTACCAAAATCAGATACTGCAGCTAGACAACTAGAACAAGCAGACAATATCGAACCAGTGAGAACGAAACCCACAATGTTACGCATATGGAGAAACAATGATCCGATCACATATTGTTATTCTTCTCCTGTGTCCTTGGGTCTAAAAAAAGTACCTAAAGCACCTACTCTTCCATCGCAGGATTGTTGGTAGTCGCACAGCCGCCGCAGATTCTCTTGTCTGCCATAGTCCATCTGCAAAAAGGCCGTCGGTGATAAAGGGATGGTGATATCAGTGGGAGGATGATAAGTGGGAAAGATTGTAGCAAGTGATGCTGCCGCCCAGCCCTTCCTTGTTGTCTGCTCGCGGGATATCTTTGCCAACGGACATCATGGCCAGTAATGCCATGTTCCATCTATTCAGCCTTCTCTGCGCTGGCCTCCGCTGCAGGTGCCGCCTCGGACTCCTTGGGGGCTTCGCTTGACTGAGCAGCTGGTGCCTCCTGAGGCTCGGCCTCGGAAGAGGTCCAGAGAGTCTAAAACCGTGTTAGCGGGAGAAAGGTACGGTTTCGGGTGTACTAGTGACTCACCAAGTTGTCTCTCAACAGTTGCATGATCAACGTGGAATCCTTGTAGCTCTCTTCGCTCAGGGTGTCGAGTTCAGCGATAGCATCGTCGAATGCCTGCTTGGCGAGGTGGCAGGCTTGGTCGGGGGAGTTCAAGATCTCGTAGTAGAAGACAGAGAAGTTCAGGGCAAGACCCAGTCGGATGGGGTGAGTGGGCGCAAGGTCAGTCTGGGCGACTTCGGTAGCAGCCTTGTAGGCCTCGAGAGACTTGTCCGCAGATTCCTTTCGCTTTTCGGCAGTAGCGAATTCAGCAAGGTAGCGGTGGTAGTCGCCCTTCCTATTCAACAGGTCAGACTTGCTACAGCCAATAGGGAAACGTCGGCTTACATCTTGTGATAGAATACCTTGGATTCACCGGTTTGAGCAGATGGAATCAGGTGCTTGTCGAGGACATCAAGGATATCTTCACAGATCTTGGAGAGTTCCTTCTCGATGTTTTGGCGGTATTCCTTGATCAGTTTGACCTGGGCTTCGTTGCCTTTCGATTCCTCCTTTTGTTCGATGGAGGTCACGATTCTCCAAGAAGCACGCCGAGCACCAATGACGTTCTTGTAGGCAACGGATAGGAGATTTCGCTCCTCGACGGAGAGCTCTTGGTCTGCAGAGGCAACGACCTTCATGTTCTCAACCATCTCTGCTCCAGGCATTAGCTGAGGACAGACTAGAGTGGGGAAGGATAACATTACCCTCATATCGCTCCGCTTGCTCCGCAAGCTTTGCTAAGTAGACTGACTCCTCTACACCCATTTTTGATGTTCGACACAACGAAGTGATTCAAAAAGGAAAGGAGACCTGCGGATGGTGGTTGATTAGCGAAGTCATCCAACGCAAACAAATGCGTAAACATTAATTAATAGGCCCGGACGGTGGTAAGGAGAGGAACAAGGGGTGGTTTTTGATGTTGCGATTAGAGATAATGGACAAAAGACAAATTCCTTCTGTTTCCGCCGCCATCGAAGCTGTGCAAAACTGAGATGGTGGATGGACAGTTCAGGAGCGGAAATTGACGTCAATGAGGCCATTCTGTTGGGATCGCATGCGGACAACGCGGTCAAAGGGTGAGGGACATGCATCAAGACACTCGCGCGAAGCCAGGGCACGCCCCTACATCCAGCTGAAGCTCGAGCGACCAGAGGCGCAGTTGAAGGTAGTCCCGTGCAAGTGCTAGAAGACGTGGGGTACGTGTGTAGACCGCTGGAGAAGGAGGTGACGATGCTGGGGGTGGCAGCTTACCCTTGGAAGAAAATAGTGAGGTCGATGGAATTCGCACAGGTCACGATTTGAGAGATCGAGCAAGATTGCAGGTGATCCGAGAGGCAGAGAGAGAGGGTGGTGGTGATTGCAAAAAGGTGTTGTTGTATGGAAGAAAGAAAGAGACGAAGGAGAGTGTGCGCAAGCCTGCAGGTGTCGCCTACAGTTAGTGAAAAAGGTAGCCGCAGGGAGTGGGAGGAACAGGGTGGGAGGCACTACTTGGTGGAAACTGGGCTGGCGACTGGAGAATGGGCAGGCCCCAAACAGGGCGTCAGGAGCGAAGGGGGAGGGAACCCAGGAGAGAATCACAAGCCAGAGAGGCTTGGCCCCGATTAAGGTGCAGGGGCCACACCAAGGCCCATCAGTCATCTGGGCCACTGTCTGGTGCTGCTGCCACTGACATAACATGCCGCTGCTTGATTCTCCTGCATTCAAATTTCCTTCCCAGCCTCACTTGTTTCATCGACACGCATTGACAGTTCGGATGGAGATTTGATTGCCTGACACAAATCCGCGCATCAAAGTCCTTGAACTTTGTCTCTCGAGGTGGCTTCCCCCTGTCGCATGCCCTTGAACTGCTAATAAGCGCCCTTTGCCGCTTTTACGGTATTCTTCGGACACTGATGAAAAATACATCACGTGCTTATTGCTGCCATCAGCTGGAAACTTCGCTCCTCCGTAGGGTTCAGTGCTCAACCATACGGTGAGGTACTACTCTGGTCGGCTTCTCCGTGCTATCGTCGTCATTTTGTCATTTTGCTCCACAGCTGCTAGCCCGTCATCTACCAAGCAGAGTCAAGCTCCTCAAATCAAGCCCGCTCGGCTTCAACATCAACTGCTACTTCCTACATCTAGCAACCGTACTCCCTCAATCAATCTGATCCTCAATCCACCCTTGCCATCCGTGAAAATGCTACGAACACAAGCCGTAAAGCTCGCAAGAGCTTCTGCGGCTCCCTCAATCCGTCGGTCGTTCTCCATCACTGCCATGCGAGCTTCCGAAGGAGATACTGGTGGACTCAGATCTGGTGGATCTGCTGCTGGGTAAGTTATTGTTATTGTTTTTCTGCTTGATCTCTGAGCTCTGAGTTCCTCGGTCCCTTTGGGGGGGCAGACGTGCAAACACGAACCATCAACGCCCCTGCTAACACCTTGTTTAATGTAAAACAGTGATGCCTTCACCAGACGCGAGCAAGCCAGCGAAACTAAGTTCATCAGAGAAAAAGAGATGGAGAGGTACGTGCTGACACCCAACATCAATACCAATGAGGGGAAGAGATATAGTGACTAACCTATGGCTACATTTGAAATAACAGCTTGAGAAAATTGAAGGAGAAACTCGCTCAACAACGGAAGCATCTCGATGAACTGGATGAGCATATTCAAGAGCTGGAGCGGGACGCTGGTGGTGAAGATCCTCAACATACGAAGGGCAACTAAATGTATTCGGCATCTTCGACCTCTAAATTGACACTGGGCGCTCAGCACCCATGAACAGAGGGCGACGACGATGCTGGCAAGAAAGTCTGGAGGATGGCGCCAAAATACAGAGCAATGGAATTACTATTCGGTAGCTCAAAGGAGAAGCATGAATCTACGGCTGTACAGAAGTTCGGCTGCCTTTCTGGCAATATCATATGTCTTCACTCCCACATTGAACGAGAGTCCAATTTCCCCAGTTCGAACTCGTGAATATCTGATCGGTCAGGTCTTACAAAACTTCCCAATTTTTTGGCCGAGGTGTCCGTCACCCCTACCCTAGAATCTCAAAGTACCAAAAGCACCCTTCATTGGAGAATGCCACCTGATTTGCTGGCAGAGACACTGATTAAATCCATTTCCATCTCATAATCTCCTCCCCATATAACTCCGATAGAAATCCTGGACGGCTGCACCAGTGTTGCTTCCATCGGTTGTCAAAGATGACTTGTAGCCAGTCAGATAACCTAGTTGGCCTGCCGCCTTTTGTGCCCCTGCAACTTTCTCTTGTAAAACCTGAGTTCCTTGATCGATAGCTTGGAGCTGTATCAGGTGCGAATTGAGGATCTTGACGATCTGTGTGATCTGCCACAGGCTTGTTAGCTCTAACACTCCACAAAATCGATATTGGAGGTCAGTTCTGCTTACTGGTTCATCCCCCTTTCCGCCCCTGCTCAGGCTCGCATTTGCCGCATTGACTTCATCGACCATACTTGCCAGATCTCTCTCCATCTCCTCTAGTCTCTCGCCCAACTTCTCCGCAAGTTTGTACGTCCTCTCCCTCTCTTGGTCCGGTCCGCCCATCTCACTAGGAGTAGAAGAATCTTTGGCAAGCATCTCATCCACATCGCTCTCGTATTTGCTTAACCAAGACTCCAACTCCGCTTGTGAGTTCTCAATAGCGGCAAGTTGCATGTCCACACTCATAGTCTGCCTTTCGCATGTTCGAGCGCGCACGTACAGTTTATCGATCTTTGATGAGTTGTCAACAATCAGTTGATCCCACCGCGCAATGGTCTCTGCGTAGTCCTTGAACTCTTTTGAATAACGGGACATGTCAGTTGCCCAGCGGGTAAGGATCTCGTCCATGGTTTTATTACGAAGACGGGACTGAGCCGGCGGGATTGGACCCGTTGTTGATGTCTGGCCGCCAATAGTGCCTTGAAATGGGTTCGGCGCAGTGATGGTCCCAGCTGTCGGAGCAGACGTCGTTGTAGCGGCAGCTGGTTGTGAAGTTGATGGTGCTGCCGGTTTGGGGAACGAGAAAGCGCTAGGTGCAGGGGCCGATGTAGTAGCAGGCTGTGTTGTCGCCGTCGCTGTCGCCGGCTTGCCAAAGAAAGGGCTTGCCGCAGGGGCAGAAGTGCTGGCAGGCTGAGATGTCGTCGCGGTAGCTGGAGCCCCAAAAGAAAACAGGTTTGCGGTAGTTGCGGGTGCAGTCGTGGTGGCTGAAGTGGTTACTGGAGCCGAGCTGGGAGTTCCACCAAGGTTGAACCCTGGGAAGAGAGGCTTTGAGGTAGGAGCAGGCGTGGCTGCGCCTGAAGCCTGTGTTGCAGAAGGCTGCCCGAATGATGGAAAACTCGGCTTAGCGGCTGGCCCAGAAGCGTCCGTAGCTGCTGGTTTCCCGAAAAGACTCTGTGTGGTGCCTGAAATGGGAGCAGCAGATAGTTGCGAGGTTGCCGGTGCTGAAGTATTCGTTGCGTTGGAGTTAGGCTGCCCAAGCGAAAAGGCCTTCTGTTCGGGAGCAGAAGCAGCAGTCAATGACGGGGTTACGTTGGACGTGGACGCAGCTGGTTTTGGGAAAGAAAACCCGCCAGATAGACCACCAAAGAGGTTTGTGGAAGTCGACGAGGCCGCCGTGGTAGGGTTACCAAGCGAAAATGTAGGCTTGGACGCATCTTCAGTTGGCTTTGCGCCAAAAATGCCCGGGCCTGCACCAGCACCGCCTGTACTTGCGCCAAAGGCTGAGCTGGCCGGAGGAGGTCCAGCTGGAGTGGTCGAAGTCGTACCGAGACCGAATGGCTTGTTGGTAGCAGGGGTTGTAGAGCCAAACAAAGATGGGCCGGATGTTGCTGGCGTAGATGACTTGTCTGGCGTGCCAAACCCTCCAAATCCTCCAAAGGCTGGCTTGGTGGTATCACTGCTGTCCGTCTTCGACCCGAAGAGGTTCTTGGGCGCAGAATTGAGCAAACCGCCACTCTGCTGTCCGAAGGGGTTGAAGGAAGCAGGCTTGTTATCTTTTGCACCACCAGTAGCCAAAAACCCTTGCTGCTGAGTAGATGTTGTAGGCGCGGTAGTTGGTGAGTTGAACCCGCCAAAACTGAAAGACCCCGTGTTTGCTGTCGATGTTGGTGCACTTCCAAAGAGACCTCCTCCCGATGATGCTGATGTATTGGAAGTTGCAAATGGCGACTGCCCACTTCCACCGCTTGTAGAAGGCGGGTTAAAATTGAAAGCCATCTTCGCGAAACGAGGAAAGGGATTTCCAAAGTATGAGCTCTGAGGAATCTAGGGACAGGGCATCGCAGGAGATCAAGCGTGGAACGGTGGAGGAGGCACTGGGCGTAGCTGAGAGCAGATGAATTGTTTTGTGAATGCTCAAAGATTGGTGTCGGCAGAAGGGTGCAGTTGGCGAGGTATGAACAGGACGCGCCTAGGCGCGGAGCAAAAAGTTTGGTGTAGACGCAGTGGTTCGCGGAGTTGGTGCCCAAAATGGAAACCGACGCCAATGCTGGCCTGCGCCTTGAACCAACTGCATGCCTCTTCATTCTGACCATTCCACCCTTTCCACCTCTACCTTCTTCTCACCCAGCCTTCTGTTCCGTGGAATTTGACGTTGAAATCGAGAGATAGGCAGACCCTTTGTCCAGACACAAGGATGTCTAGACCATCATCGTCGAGAGACAGTCTGCACCTTGAGCCTCCTAGGAAGAGTGTCGAGTTAGAGGATCCCGGCGCTCATGAGTGTATGAAAACCTCCCGATTTCTGATTCACGCCATTCCAAGCACTAATATCGACTACAGTATCGTCAGAAGGCGAAGATGAACACTTCTCGGATGCCTCAGAAGGCCAGAAAAGACCCTCTCGGCCAGTAACTCCTGCATCCCCGATTCCGAAGACACGCATTGAGAAGGTCGACGATGAGCCACGATATGGCGAAGTTCCCGGCACGCCTGCATACGAGAAACGAGTCCTTGATGCTGTACCTGACGAGGTCGAGATTGTCCAAGAAGGTCGCCTCAGTAAACGCTCTTCTCAACTACTGGAACCACCCACCACTCCTGGTGGTACTCTCATACCTCGGACTGTGGTTGAGCTTCTAGACCCAGAGTCTCCCAGTTACGGCGAAGTCCCAAAGACTTCGGCCTACATACAGAGGCAGATGGATGCAGTTCCCGACGTCATTTTGAAGAATCCCGAGCCTGGGAGGTTACACCATTACACCGATGAGGAGGGAGGAGAAGGAGAAGGATCTTCCTCTTCTCCCAATGTTCCAGTGCCGGCAACTATCGTTACCCGAGTTGATAGTTTTCCCGCCCACGGCGAAGTTCCAGGCACAGAAGCCCATAAAAAGCGAACGCTTGATGCCTCTCCAGATATCACCGAGAAGAAGGGCCACGGAGCAGGTAAATCCAGTGAATGAACCAGCCTTTTAGGAGGACCATTGACCTGATTCAGGGTCACCCATCCTCAACAGATCTTTGAACGCCACAAGACGGAGGTCCACTTCACACGACGACGACGACGACGATGACGACAATGATGGCAACGACCGTAATGACAACGACTTCGGAGACGATTTCGATGATTTTGAAGAAGGCGCACAAGCTGGGGCAGAGGATGACTTTGGGGACTTTGACGATGGCTTTGAAGAACCTGAAACTATCGAGTCGCCACCTCTTGTATCTACTTCACAATCAAGTTCCATACCAGCCACTGCATTCGTGAGTTTCCCATATTCGTTCCTGCCGTCTAATGTGCTGATAGACCTTTCAACTGCAGCCCCTGGTTGAGTCTGTTGCGCTTTCATCAATACCAGATTTTCTCGCTGCGGCACAAATGCACTTAGATGCCATGTTCCCTGCCACTACGACTGACTACTCCTCTCAAATTCCACCACAACAACCGATCTCGGATTCCTCACCTATCTTCCCCTCGGAGCGGTCACGTTCACTCTGGAAGCAACTGATCACACCACCCCCTCTCCAACCACCCAATTGGACGCAATCACGAATCCGGCGACTGTTCCTGGTCAGTCTTGGGGTACCAGTTGACCTGGATGAAATTCTACCGCCAAGCAAGCAGAAGAAGCTTGTTTTACCAGACATCAATTTAGAACCCTCGTCACGCAGGTCGGAGGGGGATAAGGCAACAGGATCTCTAGCACGTCTCAAGGCGCAAGCTGGGGCAAATGACTCGTCTGCCTCGATCGACAGCTCACAATCAGGTGCCGCCAAAGAAGGCCAAAGAGTACCTCGCTCAAGGAAACCAAAAGGACCCCCTCCGCCGCCTGAGCTAGACCTAGCAGCTGTTCGACGCCTCTGCGCCACCACCGAAGAAAAGCTTGAAGGCTTAACTGACGAAGAGTTACAGAGCCACGTGGAGGAATTAAACGAGCTGACAGCAAGGACAAGTGAAGTCTTGGAGTACTGGTTAAAACGAAGGGATGGTTTGGTAAAGGAAAAGGAAGCATTTGAAGGTGTCATCGAGAATCTAGTCAGGCATGCCAGGAGGGTGAGGAAATAACCCTTCTTCTACACAGTACAAAGGTGTATAACATGTCCAATAAAATACACTATCTTCGAGTGGAGAGCTCTTGTCTAGGAAAAGCGAAGTATCGAAGAGATCCTGTGCTAGCAGCTTGAGAACGCACTCACATTCTCGAATCAAGGTCGGAAAAGAGGCTGTCCCAGCTTGGCATCCCCATCTTGGGACCCAACTCGACGTACTCCTTCCAGATCTCGTCGAAGTCGGACAGGTAGTGCTGACTGATGTCTTCAGAGCCCCAGGTGCTATCATAGGGTGGGGGTGCTTGTTGTCCACCAGGATCCAGAGGTATAGGAGGTTGAACAAGCTGCTGGGCCGACGGCTCACTGGCAGCACGAGGCGCAGGGAGGTCAGACGCCTGCAAGTGAACCTTGTGCTTTCTGAGCACGTCAAGGAGGGATTCGAGAAACTCGTGCGCCATCCCCGACTGAGATTTGGCCTCTTCCAGCATCCGGCATGCTTCCGCGACTTCGGCCTTGCGGGCGGCGTCGTCTTCCCCTTCGGCAGCCTCGTTGAAACACAGGTCCATTACCAGAACAATGGTCGCCATGAAGATGTGGTAGACGACACCAGTATTCTTCGCGACTACGGCCATAAAACTGCCCGGTTCATCCAGACGAATGAGTGTCTTCATCCGAATGACTGCACGGGCCGACTTCAGCGATATGTGCCGAGAGTAGTCATAATGGCGCTGCACGGCGCGGCGGATGAGAAAGGGCTGGTGAAGTTTACACCGTCTGGTATGTCCGATCATTCCCAATGTGAGACGCTGTACTTGCATCCGTGGGTATCGACGCATGACCGGTTCACTTTCTCGAATATGGTGTTCGTCGATTTTGAAGAATGAGGGTAACTCCTGAAGGAACGACTCGAATTTCCTGTCAAGTCTGACGACATCTTGATAGTTGACTGTCCCCAGCTCTAGGCTGGACAGCGGCATCAAGTCGACGACGCTGCGGCAGATGTCGGCGAGCTTGATCCTCTGGATATAGTATGACATGATGGTCGGCTCCGACAAGGGTTTGTCTATGGGAACAGTGCCCTCTCGCAGATCCTCGTCGTTGACGTTCATCGGCTTATTCACGCGAATATGTCGCGGCTGAACGAAGTATGTCCCCTCTTGAGGACCTCCACTGAGACCGAGAAACCTTCGAGACACGTGTGAGCAGTTTAAGGGAGGGAACGCGCTCGAGAAGCAGGTACATACCAATCGGTTGCCACAACATGCCACCAGACCCTTCGTTTTATTTCGGTCTCCAATACGGCCCGCTGGCTCCCAGCACTGCCCGGTGCATCGGTCTTGTGCAACGAGAGATCGCGTGCCATTATGACGGCACCGGCGAACAAATGACGGGCTCTGGTTGAAAATCCTTCGCTATGGAACAGAAGAAAGCCGAGGATGATGGCAGCCTGGACATCCTCCAACTGGCTTGGGGTCGTGCGACGAGAAGACTCTATTACTTCCAGCGTGGTGTTGATCCAGAGGGAGGACGCTTGGGCCACGTCAGAGGCCGAAAACGACGGCTCGATGTCTCCCAAGAAGTACATGGCAAGGTTGGAAGAACTTGCCAAGATGCTCAACAAGAGTGCAAGTTCAGAGGGAAGGATAGGGAGACCTTGCTCTAGGTTGGCATAGAGATTTTGCATCATGTTGCGGACAGTCGGCACGTGGATGACATGTTGGAGATCGTCGATATGTTGGAAATAGTGGTCCAGCAAAAGCGATGCTTCAGCCCTCGGGGGAAGACAAAGACAGTTTGAGGTTGACTGGGAATGGAACGTTTTAGCGGCTTCGAGGGATATTTGGCGTATGGACACCATGCGGATGTCATGGCCTCGTGGTAATACCCATGGTACGGGCCCAACACCAGTCCCTTCTAAGTTTTGAACTGCTTGTTCGTATTCCGAAGCCGGTGAAAGGCAGGCAAGGCTCGGAGAGGGAATCGTTCTCGAAAGAGCCACAGACGATGATGTTTCAGGGCCGGTGCCTGTCGTCTCCTTGATGGGTGTTCTTCCAATGACAATGTCCTCGAGTCGTCTCAACCGCGCAAGAACAGACTGGTCATTCGGATCGTCCACCAACGCGGGTGGACGGCGGCCAGGTGACACGAATTTACCGTCGCAGGCAAGCCCTCTTGATGCACAGTTCGAACATGGGTGCTGCCTGTTGCATTTCAGCTTTTTCGATCTGCAGAACTGGCAAGATATGGGTTCTTGCCGAGGCCTTTTCGAGGGATTTGAAGGCACAGGTGCACCCGAAGAGAACATTCTTCCCGTCTGCGTCTGCGAGGCTTGATAGGACGGTCAACAGACAGGATGACCTTATACCGCGGACATTCCAGGGGCCATGTATGGAAGGGCCTTGTATAGAATACCTGGCTAAATGCGGGATGAATATTGCGTTATTGATGAAGTCTCAGGACAATCTAGTTGCAAACTTCTGCCGACTGCATCGTGAAGAAGGTGAGACAGGTTCGAATTTGGCCATGCCGAAAGGGAACGTCTGTGCTAGCTGCACTCCTTGCTTCTATTGGTCAAAGCGTGAGAGTCATGGGCCACTTTCATGGTATTAGCCAATAGAAATCAACGTGGAAGCTGATAGCGCTGCACTAGGAAACTCCGTGGAAGGTCCGGATCCACTACGGCCACTCTGGATACATCAAATTCTCGTGCGTTGTGTCCATCCCTTCAGCCACAGGTTGCAACAAATTGTCTTGTACTCGACAATTTAGCACTATGCTACGTCCCACTGTTCCAACCGAGAGACACAATGTATTGGATACCCAGCTCCATGGACTCTCCATCTTGCTCGAGATTGAAGACCCTGATAAAAGGCCGTGTTCTCTTTCAAGTCGCCGACGGGGATTTTCGATCCTGCGAACCGCCTCTTTGACTCTTCCAACATGGCACAAGACTCGAAACTAAGTATGGCTTCAGACTCCGAGAAGCTTGAGCCTCGTCAGCCTCAAAATGAGACCCGCGAATTCAAGTTAGTACTCTTCACCGTTCAAATGACGCTCGTTAACATTCCTCGCACAGCACCAGGTCGGTTCTCACTATCGTTGGCGCGGCCTTGTCAGCCTTCTGCACGGTCGGCTTCCTCAATGCGTTCGGCCTCTTTATAGACTACTACCGGAATCATCAATTGGCCGACAAGTCCGAGTTTGACATATCCTGGATTGGATCCTTCTCCACATTTGTGTTCTTCCTCGCCGCAGCTCCAGCAGGCCTTTTGGTAGATCGCATGGGTCCCACGGTACGTACCATCCAGACGGGTTCGTACACCATCAGATCTGCTCAGCTAATTTGGTATAGATTCTCCTTATCATTGGAAGCACAGCGACCCTCCTTGCCATGTTCATGATCTCCCTGTGTCATGAGTATTACCAATTCTTCCTCGCACAAGGACTTCTCCTGGGCATAGGGCAGGCCTTTCTCATCTGTCCTGTCTTTGCCATGGTTAGCCGTCACTTTAACAAGAACCGCGGACTGGCGACCGGCTTCACGATCGCAGGCTCCTCCTTGGGTGGGGTTATCTGGCCCATAATGGTGGATCAACTTCTATATAAACACGGCATCAGTTTCGGTTGGACCATCCGCATCATTGCTTTCACGATGCTTCCGCTCGTGGCAGTTACCTGCATCACTGTCCGTCCGCCAGCATCAGAAAAGACCTCGAGCGAAGAGAATGTCCAAGCCGCGCAGGAAAAGCAATCAAAGAAAACAGACTTGTCGATTCTCAAGAGTCGCGTGTTTCTCACATTTTGTCTTGGGATAGGGATATACTACCTGGGAATGTTCTCCCCTTTCTTCTTCGTGACAACCTACGCCGTCAGCCTCGGTCTATCCACCAGTTTCGCCTTCTACCTGGTTTCCATCCTCAACGCTGCCTCATTTTTCGGGAGAATTTCGGCTGGTTGGGCCGCTGACAAGTATGGACACTTCAACATGTGCTCACTAGCGGCGATGACATCTGCAGTGGTTGCATATTGCTGGACGGCTACCCAGTCGCCGGCAGGTCTTGTGGTGTGGAGCTTGGCTTATGGGTTCTGTTCTGGTGTAAGTTGGTCTTGCCTGAAGAAGACGTCAAGTGTTACTAACAACTATGCTACCCCAGTCCATCCTGAGTCTCCAGGTGTCGTGTGGAACGAAACTGGCCGCGCCCGAAGCCTATGGTACCGCTGTTGGGATGATTATGGGAATTGTCTCCTTGACGTAAGTTTGGTGTCTTTATGCGTTCCCTCCAGGATTCGACAGCTGACGTTCCCTATCACCAGCGGACTCTTCGGCTCCCCCATCAGTGGCCAATTGATCAAGTCCGGTTACCTTTCCCTTTCAATGTATGCTGGAAGTGCACTAGTGGTTGGGGGCATATTTATTTGTCTTGCACGACTTCAGATCTCGCGGAAGCTGCTGGCTATTGTCTGAGTGTTGTAAACCGTGCTAATCCGGGTTGAGTGTTCAAAGATTTCTCGGTGGTATAGAAATGAACGGTGTGGTGGAGTGTACGAGAGATATTAGAAATGTATTATAGCTTAGATGAGTATACTTCTCGCCTCACAGATAGAAATACGCGCACAATTGATCGCCAGTGCAGGCAAGGCTGTGCTTGACCTTTTTAGGTTAGTGGATTCTCCAATAAAACCAGCAGGACCTGGACAGCAGGCTGGATGCGACTCGCAAGCCTCACTTGTCTTCAACCATCTTGACCATGCACACCGCGCAGTAGGCGTTCAAAATACAAGAGTCAGACTACACGCCCTTGTTGCATTAGACACATCCTTCTTGAACCCCACTCTGCTTTAACACTCAACATTATACCAAACCTGCTCTCGTCACCAAAGGTATTCCTGGAGCGTTCGCAGTCTCCAAATACTCGCCATTGCCCTTCGCGCCTCTAGAGGCAGAGCAAAGATGCCCGCAGCCATGTCCTCACAGTCGCCCTCCCTCGACTCGATCCTGCACACTCTCCAACAATCTCTGAGCCACAACGACCCGTCTCAAGCGCAGTCACAGTTACAAAAGGCAAAACTTGCCCTACTCCAACAGAATGCCTTGATTCCCTCTCCTCAAACCCCTCCACAGACACTAGCAACTGCTCGTTCGATATTGGAGGCCGGCGCCCTTCTCTCCATTCGATCAAGAGACCCCGAGTCGTTCGTGAGGTATTACTCACAGCTACAGCCCTTCTACGATTTCCCCGGCCTGCAACAGACGCCTTCCAGGGATCGATCGAAACTCACGGGACTGTACCTGCTTCTGTTACTCAGCCAAGGTGACTATGCGGGCTTCCACACCCTCTTGGAGTCCCTGATTGTCGCGGAAGGGGCAAATGGGTCTTCCAGCGTCGAGGCCGACCCATACATCAAATACCCTATGGAGGTGGAGAGGAGTCTTATGGAAGGTAGCTACGACCAGGTCTGGCGAAAGACAAATGGGCGAGACGTGCCAGGTGAAGAGTTTGGCTTGTTCTCCGACGTATGGACAATCACCTTCCTGCGCTGTTTTTCAAAAAGTTTGCTGACGTGAAACACTAGATCCTCATCAACACCATCCGCGTCGAAATCGCTTCCTGCGCCGCTCGCTCCTATCCGTCCCTTCCCATTGCCTCGGCGAAAAACCTCCTCTTCTTAGAGTCCGAAGGCGCGGTCATGGAATTTGCGCGGGAGCAGGGTTGGAGTTTGGAAGAAGGGAGGATATATTTCCCAGGACTGGAGGCGGCGAAGAAGCTGGAGGACGGAGACGAGAAGGAGGTGATCAGCCACATGGTCGAGTATGCCAGAGAACTGGAGAGCATTGTTTGAGATGTTTCTGTGAGCATGGAGAACTTACAGTTCAAGAGGGATGGTCATTGTACTCATACTCAACAGCGCAGCTTTGCACAGGACGGCAGTATTGGGGGGTCCATGAACAAAAAGCGCATAGACACGCCCGGCAGGAACATCAGGTCTCTGGCGCATGAGATTCTGACCTCGCTTTATGCAACTTGTTCCCATTTCTGAGCTCTTTAACCTTTTTCCAAGCTGTCCCCAGTGTGAGCTTCGCTTCGCTTCGCCTCGCCTAGAGCATTTGGCTCAAGAACATGACAATTATTTTTTGTGGATTGCTCGGGGGCATCCTCGACAGAACTCGCCTCTATGATTCACTTGTTCTGGACCTTGAAATCATCCACAAACTTCCACGTGCATATCTTCATGTCGTAGAAGCTGGTGCTGACGATCGTGTACGCCGGCGCTTCTTCTTTTGCTGGACTGACACCTTCTCGCACGGGTTCTTTGCCCTCGTGGAGTTGAGCGCGTGGGTTGTCCCTTTCGGTGCTTCCGTTGTCGAGCCGCGCGTCGCAGCAGTAGACCATGCTTTCGTGGCCGGCCCGGCAGACCGTCACTGGGGTGATTGTCCATGTGCTGTCGGAGGGGGATGAGTCGGATGAGCCCGCTGTGTGCGTGACGCGGAGGATGGCGGCGCCAGCGTGCATCAAGGACGCGAGGATGAGCGTGTGGTGCTGCCGGGCGGTGTTCTGGTCTCGGTCCCTCGGCGTGGTCGAGTACTCGTCGAGGACCTTGAGTCGCCACACGCCGCCGTCGAGCCTCAGGTCCGTCTTGAAGCTGGCGCGCTGGGTCTTGATGTCGAGTTCGAAGACGCGGATGAACTCGTCGTAGCTGCCGGTGAGGAGCGGGACGATGTCTTTTCTGTCATCGTCGTCGCCGTTCTTGCCGTTGTGGACGGTGGTGGGCGAGAGGGGGAGTATTGCCACCACTCCTGCTGTATGGGTGCGGCGGTCTTTCCAGAGGGGCGTGGCGTCAGGGCACAGAGTGTCGCAGGAGGATAGGGATGGTGAGTCCGATGTCGAAGGATAGGCGGAGATGGCGTTGGCTGGTAGGGAGACTGAAGAGGCGATCAGGGCGCTGTCGTCGCCGCCACTGAGGATCACTCGAGAAGGTTTACTTCTACTGTCATGTCTTGCTGTCCCACCCAAATCGACGGCTGCGACGGTCCAAGCTTCCAGCTCGTGTGTGTGGACAACCTCGTTCGAGCGAGGTATTAGCAGTTGGAGGGGTCGATCCAATCTCTCGTCGAAGAGGTCTTTGACCGCCGGGAGGGAGAGTGTTACAACTCTCGTCTGACCAAAACTCGTCGCCGCCACGAAGCCCACGTCAATCACGTCGCTGATCCCGACCACCCCGTGCGTGCGCGTCTCTGGGAACCAAGTAAACTGCGTGATCAGCGGTACTAGACCGTGCTCATCGTTTTCCGCCACCCGGACAGATCCCATGGAGAGTAGTTTGCCAACGATGCGCCGTCCGAGCACGTCGCCGTAGACGACGAATCGGAAGAAATGGACCGCAGCATTGCTCGTGGCGACCCCCAGGAGCGTGTCGTCGTTGGGATGAAAACGAATGTCCAGCACGGCGCAGGGGAAATCCACCCTGTCCAACAAGGGTCGCCGCATGCCCGCGTATTTAGGCTTGAATGTCGACATGACGGTCATGACCTGGAGAGACCCGCGTCGTGTCTGCCCCGTGTAGTCGCATGGTTCGTCCTTCTTGAGCAGCGAGTACGTCCCGATGATCATATATTCCGGGTGGGACGGGCATATGGCGACAGTGTCGACTTCTTGGTCCGCCGTGCGCGAGGTGTATTCCATCTCTTCAGAGACGCCGGCCATCTTGACGAGGGACAGTGGGGATGTTCTAGGAGGGGCGATGCCGCCGGCGGCCGCGACCTGGGCGGCTTGTTCTGCGCGGTAGCTTCTGATGTTGGCTTTCACCATGTTCATGAGTTCGCTGAGAGAGGGTTTGGGGAGATTCATTGCAGCACGACCATATGGAGGAAGACTTGTTGATTTTCTTTCCCACACATCCAGCAGAGGCCAAAGCGGAAAAAGGGAAGAAAAGCACTTGAACGCACTTACTTGCTAAATTGATTTCAATCAATGCTCTTCACGGCTAGATATGGGTGAGGTATGTAACGACCCGGTCGCGGATTTGGGGGTGTGAATTAATGTCTGCTGATGGTGTGGCAGACAGTGAATCTACCACTTGCTTCACGAGGTTGATGTGCTTTGTCGTTCTGCTCTCGCTAGCCTCTTAACACGAAGTCAGTACCTGTCTAACACGACAAATGGCATTACACTGAGATATAGAACACAGGCAATCTTCCATGCTCAGAATTGTGCTCGTTTCCAAGAATGTGAGGTGGCAGGTGGGGATGGTCGCCAGCTGGAAATGTTCAGCCTCGTCACATGTCAGGGATTCTGCGCCTTGCACTACAAGATGCTGTGTGGGAGATCAGGGATATCATTGTGAGATAAGAGGTGGTTGACCATTAAGAAAGAAGAGTGTACACAACATGGAGAAACTGGTGCTCGCTACAAATGACTGACAATGAAGGAGAAGTGGTTGTACAATACGAAACAAAATAGCTCTATTACTGACTGTGACCTCCCTCGTAATGCTTCGGAGATGGCCTGTTTTAGTAATTGGACCAGTGTATAGAGAACAAATAGGTATTCGGTAAAGTAAGTGATGTTCATGACCTCTATCACGCTGTCTCATACACCGCGTTGGAAATATAAAGGACTACCGAATAGAACAGAAATCATGTTTGGAATATAGCTTCAGACGCCCATTTACGAGAATCGCTAGCAGCTCGTGCATCTTGCTCCATTTCCATGCCCCTTCCCCACACTCCTTGAGCACTTCCAGGCGCAGAGCGGGACACGACAACGACGTGGCAGTTTGACAGTAAGGCCGTCCTAGCGCCGCGACTTAGCCGCGAAGGCAGGCATCACGCTGGGTGCCAGAGGCCGCTTCCCCGTGATATTGTATCCGTCATGAAAGTTGTGTCGGGCTCTGCAGGGAGGACAGCGAACCTGGCGCAATGCTCGTTTGCACTTAGCTGAGGAGGCACGAGCCTGGGTTGCGGTAGCGAGCTCCTCTCCCTTCGAAGTGAGTACTTTTGTTTTGGCCGCCATTCTGAGGGAAAACTTGAATCTGTGCTTTAATGTACCTAGGAATCTCGGCGCCCGCCCACCTCCCGCGCCACGTGACTTGGCGCCGCTTTCGCTCAGCCGGCTCCGGCCACCAGCACTCACCAATTTGGAAACCCCGTAGGTCGGGATCACGTGATTGGCGAGGCGCGTAATCAGACATGGTGCCTAATGCCGCGCAGTTTGGCGTCGTGGATCGACAAACTTGTCATAGGTGTGGGTTCAACAATTATGGAACGCAACCGGCATGAAATTCAGGATCTTGTTGCTCGCTACTCCTATCAGCCAGATGACCTACTGGAAGGCATGATCATACTCCATGAGCCAGCGGGGCAAACGACTGTTCGACGCGACTCTAGTTCCTCAACCTTTGGCCTCCTTGATCAAGTGCCAGTCGAGCTCTTGTACTCCCTCCTGGGCTTTCTAGACCTTCGTTCCATATCACATCTGTCGCAGGTCTCCTTACGGGGCCACGTTGTCGTTCGATCATTTCATATATACCGAGACCTGCTGAAATACGTATCTCGTGCCTTGACAGTGTTGGGCCGGACCAGATCCATACGCTATCACAACGCAACAACACTTCACACGGCGCTCTTCTCGCAGGATTGCGTCTCTTGCAGACACTTCGGCGCCTTCCTCTTCCTGCCAACCTTGGAGCGTTGTTGCTACGAATGCCTGAGCAAAAATCAGAGTCTTTGAGTGGCTTCTCGAGCCTTGGTCAAGAAGTGCTTCAACCTTGATGACCATCAAATCAAGAAACTACCTGTACTGCGCAGTCTCCCTGGCTTGTACCAGATAGAGGCTCAACCAGATATGTCTCGCACTCGTCGGCTTAACCTCGTCAGTGTCAAGTCCGCCAAAGCGCTTGGACTCAAGGTTCACGGATCAACGGCGAACATGCCGGATTGGGATTCTTTGTGTCATCCTTGGGCGCCTTTGACAAAGGATTTGAAGAAATACAATTATCTTCGGTGGCTTCAGGCTGCACCAATGCAATCACTGGACGGTGATCCAGTTATACTACCGAGACAGCCACACGCACCAAATGATAACTATTGCGGTGTGGCCTCCATCCCATTTCCGTCAATAGGTCGCGATGGCCAGCATGATAGCGGTTTGTGGTGTCGTGGCTGCGAATGGGCTTGCGAAAATTTGCTCGGCAAAGATGAGCAAGAAATTGGAGCCGCTTTAAGCTACAGCATTCCCCCAGACTGTTACGTGGAAGACGTGGAAGACGTGGAAGACGTTCTACTTTCCCTGGCGCTCCGTGCGAGGTCAAAGATAGACTTTGCCAGCCATATTCAGAACTGCTACGGCGTGAAGAAGCTGGCTGATGATGTGTAAGAAGTCGCACGTTTGTGAGTTCAAATCACTGCGAGCCACAAAGTGGCTGCAGTGGCATGTGCTCAAAAAGGCTACGGCACGCCCTGGGGCCAGACCGGCGGGTAAGTCAGTTGAAACTGGGGCCGTGTGGAATTCCCATAACCAGGCATTACGACGCCGTTACAGGTCGCACCCAAGACATGATACGTCGCATTCAAAATGAGACTTGAGGATTCGCACCCGTCTTGAGCCAGATATGGACCGATGACCAGGTCAACAATAAAGAACCTCATCGCCGGTCCATCGATCACGATCGCCTGCCAAACTCCGCTCCACCCTCATATTCATCCTTTGAGTATGTGGCTCCGTCTTGGTTCGCAACAATCATGACGGAAATGAAATTCAATCAATCCGAAATCGTTCCGAAGTAAAACTCGAGGTCTTGGACCACGAAATTAGCGATGGAAGGGGCATATACTGCGTACAAGCCGGCAACAGAGTCCACTACCTGACCATTCCTACAACTGTTTTTGATGATGACACAATGGGCAAGCCATTCCTTCTAATACCTCAGCTTCCCGATTTCCCTGACACAAATTGGACCAGAATGACAATTCCCCGGAAAGAAAACGGAACGTTGGCGCATACCATCTCCTTTAAAACTCTTCCAGAGCTCAAATTTACCTTTCACGAAAATCTAGTCGACTGCCTCTCATATCGAAAGATAAGGCGGCTTCGTCCCGGCGTCGTCGAGGTTCACTATCGCGGCCGGCCCGCTATGGCGAAGTACTCCTGCTTTGATTGGGACTTCTACCGAATACAACGCGAGAACTGGGCCTACGATATTCTTCACAATGACCATGACAAGGGCCAAGTATACGTGGCTCCAAGAGTCTTAGGTCGACAGAAAACGGACGTCCGATCGGACTGTTACTAGATAAAATTGAAGGAACTTTCGCGTCAATTAAGGACAAGGGAAACTGCGAGAAATCTCTTCGCATCTTACGCTTGGTCCACGGCGATGTCAACAGGTATAATTTCATTGTGGACGCCAAAGACGGTATCGCTCATTTTCCACTGTCGTTCGGACAACAATTCCGCTCACCGGAGGTAGCAATTACCCAACAGGCACCCATAGTGGTTCCAGGCTTGGCCAAAAGGTTGGGGTGCCCCTGATAGGACCCATGGCCCTAGATGTGGACACTATTTATTACTTGTCACTCAGGTCGAATGACACCATGTCCAGTCACGTGCAGGGCTTGCTCAGGACATCTCAGGTCAAAGCGGCGAGGCTCAGGATATGCTCAGGTCCAAAGATGGAAATGGAAAGTACTCAGGTCGAGATTCCGACGTCGAATCCGGACGTCGAATTCCCTGGTTCACGGCTGGAAACATGGCCCCAATTGGGTGCCTCGGAAGACGAACTCGATCGCGCAGCGTCTTGTAATGCCCGCATCCCCAAGTCGTCCACGCAAGCGATAGCACTGCTGCTTCTGCTTCATAGACGCAATTCCAATAGTTTCAGACATGGCTTGACGCCTTGACACAGAAGCACGTGTAGGAGCGAGAAGCCGCCACCTTAGGTTCGCCGTTGCTCACGAAGGCTTCTCTCCCATTCAAGACATCATAGTTCATACATTGCATTAGTGATGGGTATCATGTCGAAAGACAACGTGTTTCGTCTCATTTCCGAGCTTGCTCTCTTTCCACCTCGTACATGAAATCGAAGTAAGGCTTGTCGAAAGCATGCATTCTGACGTAACCATCCTCACCACCACTTGCGTATGCAATGCCTTGCGGGTGGACGGCGATAGTGTTGAGAGGCCCGAAATGACCGCGGACACGCCCGATTTCATCCTCGAAGATTTTGTGGTAGAAGCGAGCTTCAAACTTGCCCTGACGAGCAGACGTTGTGGTGACTTCCATAGCCGCTTGGCCGCCTCCCAAGATGACAAAATCCTTCTTTGGGGTAATGGCTGCCGTGTTCAAGGGCGTGTCGGCAGTATACGACTTGAGAATGCTCAGGTCCCGCGTAGAGAGGATCTTGGCCGTCTTATCTTTTCCAGCTGTGATGAAATACGTTCGGTCGGGAGAAAACTGCAAGTCGTTGATGGTGGTGTCATACTCATGGGCTTCTTGGGACATCAATAGTTCCCCAGTCTTTGCATCCCATTGACTAACAGATCCATCCTCATGGCCGGAGATGATGTACTTGTCCAGGTAGCCCCACCCTGCAACTGTGGCCTTGCTTTCCTCACACGTAATCCTCAGGCTGTATTCGTCCGTCTGATCTGTCAGGTCATCGCCATATCGGATGTCGTAGACCACTATCGTTCCCAGGTATCCCATTCGCTTTTCCGTGACTGCCAGCAATTGCTTCCCGTCTTCACTGAATGCGACCCGTTTGACGGCGGTAGGAAATTCCCACGTCTTGACGTTCTCACCAGTTCGGATGTTCCACAACTTTATCGTGTTGTCTGCGGCTCCGGAGGCAAGGAGGTCGGTATTCGGGGATATATCGATGGTCCAAATCGCACCCTGATGGCCGTTGTATGTCCCTAATCTTTCTCCATTGCTGGTGAACCACGCGCAGATGACTTTGTCTTTCGCAACCGAGAAAAGGAGATCGCCTTCTCGGTTGTATTTGATTTGGTTGAGCGACCGCTCCTGAAATATCCGTCAGTTGGCCATCAGTCAATTTTTTTTCCTTAGGGGCTACCCACATGGCCTTGCAAGAGAATAGGCCTCATTTTCCGATGAATTGCTCGTCTCAGGAAATTAGTTAAGTGCTGTGAGAAGTTCCAAATTCAGAACGTAGCAGAAGAAGCAGAAGAAGATCTTTTGTAGAGTCTTTCCCGTGGAAGTCGATGGACACCACCAGGCGACGGGACGGCTGTGGGAATTATCGACGCCAAGCAAGAAATTACACGAGTCATGCCTATGCTCATCCATGAGTCATTGTGACTCAAAAAAAATTCCATGTGCATGGAGAATCAGCTTGAAAACATCGTCTCAACCTTTAGCCGGCTCTCTCAGTGATGAGTATACTCGAAGACCAGGGATAGCACTTTCCTTGGTCACCCGAGACGAGTTTTCTACGGAGCTTTGGGCTCTGATATGGCCAGCAGATTATCTAGTGCGACGCGTCCAAATCATATATTGGCAGGTCGTGCCATTCTCCGTCAATCAATTTTCTCCAATAGTTCTTCTCTCCGCCTTCCGACTTTACCCTCTCAACCTTTGTCTCTCAAGAGTCTGACTGCGATCAGAGCTGCCTCTGGAGTCACCCTGATCAGTAGAGGTGCTCGGCGCCCCAAAGGACCAGTTGCCTCCCCCAGAATAGTTTCCGCAACGGTCGGCCGGTTCCAGCTACCCATCCCATATACCGAAGGAGTCACCCGAGTCGGACCTTTCCAGTGCTCACTGCCCCTGCACTCTCGCTTCTTCTCACATACGACACCGAACAAGATGGGCGCTACAAAGATTGATGGGAAGGCTATTGCCCAGAAGATCAGGGAACGGCTGGCAGCCGAGATTCGAGAGAAACAGAGCATCAACCCCCGGTACAAACCATGTCTGAAGATCATTCAAGTCGGTGATCGACCTGACTCGACCACCTACGTCCGGATGAAGTTGAAGGCAGCCGAGGAAGCAGGCATTGATTGTGCACTGGTTCATCTACCAGACTCGATTTCAGAGCCGGAACTATTGCAGCAGATTATTGACTTCAACAATGATCCCGCTGTCCATGGTATCCTCGTCCAATTGCCTATCCCTAAACACCTTTCCGAACACACAATTACCTCTGCAGTCGCAGACGAGAAGGATGTGGACGGGTTTGGAGCTACAAATATTGGAGAGCTTGCTAAAAGAGGTGGCAAACCTTTCTTCGTTCCCTGCACCCCGAAAGGAGTTATGGTGCTGTTGCAGGAGAGTGGTGTTGATCCCCGAGGCAAGACGGCTGTAGTCCTCGGCCGCAGCGACATTGTTGGCAGTCCGGTCAGCTATCTTTTGAAGAATGCCGATGCCACGGTTATTGTGTGCCATTCTAAAACTCAACACATCGAAGAGGTTGTCAAGCAAGCCGATATCTTGGTTGCGGCTATCGGTCAGCCGGCTTTTGTTAAGGGTGACTGGCTGAAACCAGGAGCTGTGGTTATTGACGTGGGCACAAATTATATTCCTGACCCTTCAAAGAGCTCGGGGCAGCGCCTCGTTGGAGACGTCGAATTTGAGTCAGCTGTTCAGGTTGCTTCTCAAATCACGCCTGTTCCCGGCGGGGTGGGCCCCATGACAGTTGCGATGCTTATGCAGAATGTTGTCGATGCCGCCTCCTCCTATTTTGAGAGACTCAAGGCAAGACACGTTACTCCGCTGCCGATCAAGCTTGAGAAGCCCGTCCCGTCCGATATCGAAATCTCGAGATCACAGCATCCCCGTCACATCACCCAAATTGCCGCTGATGTCGGCATTGCTCCTCACGAATTGGAACCATATGGTGCCCACAAAGCCAAAGTTGACCTTTCAATCCTTTCAAGGCTGGCGCATCGCAGGGATGGAAAGTATATTCTGGTTAGTGGTATTACCCCGACTCCTCTAGGAGAGGGTAAGTCCACTACAACAATGGGCCTTACCCAGGCTCTTGGGGCTCACTTGGGAAAAGTGGCATTTGCCAATGTTCGACAACCAAGTATGGGACCAACCTTCGGCATCAAAGGTGGTGCAGCGGGCGGCGGCTACAGTCAAGTCATTCCCATGGATGAATTCAACCTTCATCTGACAGGCGATATCCACGCAATTACAGCTGCGAATAACCTTTTGGCCGCTGCCATTGATACACGTATGTTTCATGAGTCAACTCAAAAGGATGGTGCATTGTATAAAAGACTGGTGCCCAGCAAGAAGGGCAAGCGAGAATTTGCCCCGGTCATGCTTCGAAGGCTTAAGAAGCTGGGCATCAATAAGACAAACCCCGATGAGCTAACTGAGGATGAAATCAGGCGGTTTGCACGCTTAGACATTGATCCGGAGACAATCACCTGGAGGAGAGTCCTTGATGTCAACGACAGGCTCCTGAGAGGCATCACGGTCGGTCAAGCCCCGACCGAAAAAGGCCACAGTCGACAGACAGCTTTCGACATTTCTGTTGCAAGCGAATGCATGGCCATTCTCGCACTAAGCAACGACCTGAGAGACATGCGTGAGCGACTTGGTCGAATAGTGATTGGGTCTTCGAAGGCCGGAGATCCAGTTACTTGCGATGACATTGGTGCTGGCGGTGCCCTAACTGCTCTCATGAAAGATGCTATCAAGCCCAATCTCATGCAGAGTTTGGAGGGAACGCCCGTTTTTGTTCATGCTGGACCGTTTGCGAACATAAGCATTGGCAACAGCTCTATTCTAGCGGATAAGTTGGCTCTGAAGCTTGCCGGGACCGAACCTGACGAAGATCACGAGTCCAAGGCTGGATTTGTTGTCACCGAAGCTGGGTTTGATTTCACCATGGGCGGTGAGAGGTTTTTCAACATCAAGTGCCGAAACTCTGGTCTTGTGCCGGACGTCGTTGTCGTCGTCGCCACCATTCGAGCACTAAAGGTCCACGGTGGCGGTCCAGAGATCCCCGTAGGATCTGCGCTGCCAGAAGCTTACCGGACGGAAAACACTGAAATGTTGCGCGCTGGCTGTGTCAATCTCAAGAAGCACATTGCGAACGCTAAGTCCTATGGCGTCCCCGTTGTAGTGGCGATCAACAAGTTCGAGACAGATACTGAGGCTGAGCTCAAAGTCATTGAAGAGGAGGCTCTCGCTGCAGGTGCGGAAGCAGCCGTGCCTGCAAATCACTGGGCCGAAGGAGGCGCCGGTGCCGTTGACTTGGCCAAGGCAGTGATTGAGGCTTCATCGAAGCCTAAAGAATTCAAATTCCTCTACAGTCTTGAAGGCACCGTTCAGGAGCGCATCGAAAAGATTGGCAAGGAAATGTACGGGGCAGGAAAGGTCGAGTTTAGCGAGCTGGCACAGAAAAAGGTCGACATGTACACCAGACAGGGCTTTGGGAACCTGCCCATCTGCATTGCAAAGACCCAGTACTCCCTCAGCCATGACCCGGCACTTAAGGGGGCGCCCACTGGGTTCACCGTCCCGATACGGGATGTGAGGTTGGCGGTCGGCGCAGGATACCTGTATGCGCTGGCTGCGGATATCCAGACCATTCCTGGTCTCCCGACTGCGCCGGGATATCTGAATGTCGATGTGGATCCCGAGATTGGCGAGATAGATGGGTTGTTTTAGAATGGCTGGCTGGAAATCCGGGTTTACAGTACGCGTACATGCCTTTTAACGAATTTCAACAACTCTAGAGATACCCCATTTCAACAATCATACTATAGGTGGTAGATAAAACAAAGGAATACAAATTTATTGGGTGTGGTCCTCTTGGATACCGGGGCTGGTTCTCCTGCGTTGAGCGAAAGCTGCCTGTCGGGTTAGTGAAGCCCTTTGCATCCATATGCAGGCGTCTTTGAAAGGTCACGACGTCACTGCAGAGGAATGCCTTTCTCACCCGATCTCACGAGCTCACCCGTCTCATAGTTTATCCTCAAAGGGAGCGAGCCATCACAAGTCTCCTGCGTGCAGGTCTGAGGTCTGCAATACTTCGCGGTGGGCTCAGCGAGGCTCGACGAGGGCCTAAATGTATTGCCGACTCCATCCGGGGTACAGGGAAATGTCGGGGTGCAGAAGTGTGAGCTCGATTCCTCCAGGTTTTAGGGAGTCCTCCGTCTTCTCTGTTGATAGGGTCCCGCAATTCGTGTGAGTCAGGATGGCCCAAGACATGCAGATGCCATCGTGGTAGCCGACGGTAATCTTTCGGATGGTATCGCTGCAGGGGGCTTCAGGCTCTCCGTCTCTATTTGAGCAACGGGGGTCCGAGTGAGATAGATATTCATTGGCCACCGACGCCCGAACGGCTTCAGATACTCTGCAGCATTCCGTGTGCATGGCTCGCAGGAGGCTGACCAAAAAAGGATGACAACGGGATGGATCGCTTGGTGTCTCTGGAACCCAGACTTGATGGCCTCCGGGCAAGATCGGAAAGAGACTGGATGATTGACTGACTCTCTTATCAGAACGCGTCAAGCAAGTTCTCCTCCTGCATCATCAGCTCGTCTTTGACATTGCGAAAGTTGGGAGCGACGTCCTCTCGCTAGTCAAATATGTATCAGCCAGGGAAGCATGCACAGTAACTACCGGCATCCATTCGGCACGTAAAAGTATTCATTCCGCGGACCATAACAAGAATAACACGGGTATGAACAAGTCAATTGAAGCCAGGAAAGAGATGGAGAAAGCTCGTATGCTTGAGAAGAGGCGATCGCTGGCGCATATAAACGCAACAGCCATTGTCTTGTGACAACACATCGAACAAGATGTCTTTCCCCTCGAGTGGGGAGTACGGGGATTTCCGAGATACGCGTCAAAATACGAGTACGAGACTGGCACGAGGGTTTTTCGAATTGGAGTCCGTCGAGTTTGTCGAGGAGGCGCAGGGAAACCAACAGGCGTGTGGTTGTCGCATGAAGTGGACACGGACATAGAAATTCAAAGAGATGCTGTATTCGTCACTGAGTATCTCATAGGATAGGACCTCCTTGGTGTACGAGGTACCTAGTGTACAGTTGTGGTTTCGCCGTTGGTGGTGTGGAATCTCGGTGCGGAGAGCAGAAGTGGGCGCAGTTACGAACCTGTTGCTTTC